GTGAAGGAAGTCGGCAAGGCCGCTCGAGCTCAAAGCGAACGGGCCTCAGGAATCAAACACAAAGAAAAGCACAGCAACGCAGGTGCATTGTCACGGAAGCCGTGGAGCCGGTGGGTGCACCGCGCATGCGCAGTAGGGGAGCGTGACGTCACCTCCAGAGTGGCGTGTGAAAAAGGAAGCCGGCGTATTGCTTGTAGGAATGCGCTGCGTATAAGAATGCTTTCGCATTCCTACGCGTAAACTGTCTCAAGTGTCCTTCTATAATTTTTGTTTTTCTTGAGTGATATGACAAACATAGCACATAGGTACTACATATCGTCGGACAAACGAGAGACGAGCAAAGGGGCTCTGCTGCTTTCAATTTTTGTTGCGTTCCACTTTAATACCAGACACCACCGAAGAGCACTCGACCAGAAACGCCACTTTTGATGTCACCAACAAGTCCACACAGGAAGTATCAGAATGTAAGCAAACCTTTTGTTGTTCTTTTTTTTCTCACAATTATCAAGTCTGTGTCCCAATAGCTGTATTAAAGCTACTGAGAAAATCCGCGTCAAAAGGCGTCGTTGTCGTCGGTCATCCACAGGTGGTCAATCGCTTACTGTGACTTCTTTTTAGTGTGATTCATTCTCTTGTTCAAACGTAATTACAGCGAAACTGTTATGCGCTAGGATCTGGGAAAAAATGCGTCCGCGGATGTTGACTGAAAACTCCCCATTTTTCGAGGCAAGTATGAATAAATAAAAATAAAAAGAGAGGGCAACCAACGTGGGTCAGCCTTCCTGGGCATTATTAGTTAGTGAGGTCCTAATCTCTTGTTATCATCTCTAGGCATCGTCCTCGAGGTCGTCCTAGAAGTCGTCCTTGAGGCCGTCCAAGAGGTCAATCTAGGCGTCGTCCTCGAGGTCGTCCTAGATATCATCTTTAATATTGTCCTACACGTCGTCCTCGAGGTTGTCCTCGAGGTTGTCTACGAGGTTGTCCTCGAGGTTGTCCTCGAGGTCGTCCTCGAGGTTGTCTACGAGGTTGTGCTCGAGGTTGTCCTCGAGGTTGTCTACGAGGTTGTCCTCGAGGTTGTCCTCGAGGTTGTCTATGAGGTTGTCCTCGAGGTTGTCCTCGAGGTCGTCCTCGAGGTCATCCTAGGCGTCGTCCTCCAGGCGTCGTCCTCGATATCCTCCTAGAAGTCGCCCTTGAGGTCGTCCTTGAGGTCGTACTCGACGTCGTCCTCTAGGCGTCGTCCTCGAGGTCGTCTTCGAGGTCGTCCTAGAAGTTCTCTTTGAGGTCGTGCTAGACGTCGTCCTCTAGGCATCGTCCTAGACGTCGTAAAATTAACAGCTTCGCTGGTTCTCCATCTTTACGTGAAGTAGAAGGGCTCTAAATTTTTTTATTCTCCGAAGAGTTACATCGCAACTGAAAATCATCTGATTGCGATGGGTTAGGAGTAAAGAATATTGTGGGAGGGGAGAAGGGACTAAGTATGGCTAGCTACCCCTGACGAGAGTTAATCAGACTAGGCTTTCATCGAGAAAATCAGACTGTCAATTTTGACGGTATTGGTTTAAGAGCCCGGTTACTTCAAGATTCCACCGTGGTGTTTCTGTACACCATTAAAGTTGTCGTTCGCCACTAATAATCTTGGTCTTGACATCACGGGTATGATTCATAAGGGGGCGCCACCGAAACATCTCACCAATGCAGCATAAATCCCTAATGTTCGTACAAGCCCCCCCCCCCCCCCCACCCCCCCCCACTTCCCACCAGAAAAACAAATAGTTAGTTTTAGAACCCCGAAGTCCAGTCTCTCGCATCGAGGATCCGTCATTTGCTCAGGTTGATGCACGAAAAGGTAACACCCTATAAAGCTTCAGAGTGTCAATTCAGGCCTATACTTTGTTTCATCCTACGATGAACCACGCGAAGAGGTATGGACCGTCTAGTCCCATCACGGACGAGTTAAAAAAGAAACAAAAAAACACGTGGTATATTTTTTGGACGGGCGCATTTGTGCATGCGTCCAGTCACGTGGTTTTTAACTGACTAGTGATTGGACCTGGCAGCCTGTAGCTTTAGCTCTGGACCACCATAGAGTAAGACAAAGCATGATCTGTATATATCTATATATATATATATATATAAACGAATATGTGCAGATGAATATATATATGAAATAATATGAAAAATATATATATATTTTTTTTTTGATAATTCGTATTGGCGTGTTTTTAGATTTTCGTTTCATATTTGTTATTTTTCCCCTAGACGTCAGCGTAGGACTTGGGCAGCTGCAGGTTCGCGCAGATACGGTATTTTGATCGCTGACGCCACGGGTACGACGAGTGTCGGCCCGAAGATCAGGTCTATTTGCGACTCCAGCGAACGATAGGGGGCACGCTGGTCAGGCAAAATGGCGGACGAAAGGAGGTCCTTCGCGTCGTTCAGCACGCACACCACCATGCATTTCTTGCACTGCAGCGTAGTTTTGGTGTTACATTTAAAAGCCAAAACAATTTTTCGACGGTAAAAACGTCATTCTACTCAGTGCGTCGGAATGACACGACGGAAGCATAACATAGATTACTAGAAACGGGGTTTGTTTTTATCCTGCCTACGAGAACCAAGCAGCGATAGCAGATGGCAAAGTCGAAAAGACCTCCTCTCGTGAGCTTCTCGCCGCTGCCACTACGCGGCGTAGATTTCGCTTGAGTCGCCAATAGCTCTTCGTGAACCGCGTGGCGTGGGACGCGATTCTACTACTGCCACGGTTAGCCCACGCGTCATCGATGGACATAGCTGCGGCCTCGAGTTTATTGAATGTTCATTAAACGGGAGCGGCATTTCACTCCTTGGTTGTTCCATGCACTTTTGTGCTTGATTAATTTGTTCAACACGTAGTCAAAAACGGGCCCGGTTCCGGTCTTCTTGATTGTGGATCACGTGGGAGCCGGCTTGTCAAAGGTTGTAAATAGGACTTCACACACGCGGCAAGGTGACGAAAGCGTGAATCGTTTGCAAGCGTCACCGCCTCTCCGCCTCGCTTTCCCCCTCGCCACGCTAAAACGCTACGCTCGCGTACTGGCGATCAATCTGCGCAGGAGGTATCCGCCATTAAATTGCACGCGTTCTCTATGCTTTGAGACGGAGCCCCTTTTCAACATTGACTCTCTAATGTTACGATTGTTTTTCTTTGTTTTTTTTTTTTAGTTTTTGAGCGAGTTTGAGCATTTTAGATGGGCCAATAATTTCTCACTTCCTTTTTTTTTCAGGGAACGTTAGTCTTGCATTCATAACGACGACGCTTCAATGAAGAAGTTGACAAGGGTTTTTCTCGCACCCGATTATTTTCATACATTTACGCAACATCGGCAACATCGAACTGAAGACACTGCGGACGAAGCCGGGGAGAAATAATTTTTTTTTTTCACCCCACTTCATGGTGCCACAACCATTATGACACTTCCCTTTTTTTTTTTTTTTGTAGGCTCGATCAAGCCCGGCATTTATTTTGAGGACACTTTCCGCGGGTATTCGAACAAAGTCATTAGTACGAAAACGAATGATACTTTATTTCATCCGGCTGATTTGCGTATGTGTCTCTAATGTCTGTGAATGGGATGAGATGGCTGTTGGCGCGTGAAAAAAAAGTATCTATATTAATAAAACAACATGTCGAGGTAGGTGCAAGAAGGTCAAGGAAATTTTATTAACACACTAACAGCTCAAGAATGTAGCGCTCCAACAAATAACAAGGTTAGGTTATTTACATATGGCTTATTAAAGACGTCATAAAATATATATTCTTGTTTGGATTATACTTATTTTTTAGAAAGCAAAGTCTTCGGGACTCGATTGCTCAATTTTCTTATTAATGCACACCCTAAAAAAATTAAAAAAAAATTAAAATCTATGGTGTAACATGTGTAATACATTTGCTGGTCACTCTTCTCGTTCCCAAAACCGAGGTTACTAGTTGCTACTGTGCGTTCAACTGTCGTCGTTTTGCTTAGTGCTCGCGAGCGCCAAAGTAACACACGCTTTATTATAGAAAGTCTTTGTATTCAAACCCCTTTAACAAGTCCTCTCCCTAAAGTTTAAAGATATGTTCCGAAGTTATTTCTGGTTACTTAATTTATAATAAAAGTTTTTTAACCGGATATAAGGATATTTTAGGTTACAACACGGCATGAAGGAAAAAGTTAAGCGAGTGACAAAAATAAGTCGCTTGAAAGAACGAATCTTATAGCGTAAAATCTGGCCAGTAGAATGATTGGTGTGTACACAACTCAATGGTACACTCACATAACTTTTTTCATAATGTGGTAGTAATCGATCACTGTGACGATTTCCGTGACTTAGGCATATCATCGGCCAAAATAGTACTAGTGCCACTGTCGAGAGGTTGACGGTCATGACACTGCGCGAAGACGCTCTCTGGTATTTCGTTGATTTTCCGTCATGGCAAAACGTGCCACTACAGACGTTTGACTACATCACATTTAGACTGCCGTCGAAACAACGACCCCCGCTATAACGTCCTATGTTCATATACATAATCGTTTCTGAGGAATTGTTTAATAGTCGTTTCATAGGAGCAAGCTAGAAAAACCTGTAGCTATAAACTCTTTTTTAATGCAGTATCTGCTCAAGCTACGTGTACTCCATGTTAAGCTAAAAACTATGAAGGGCTCCGATGTCATCAATGTATCGTATGAAATGTTGGAATCAATCGCAAGTTACCATGCAGTTATCAAAATGTGGTAATTGCTATTGACTTATGTCTAAGTCCGATCGGGACAACGTCCCGTCGTTCCGGATTATTGAGAGGGCGCATGTGCTCTTGGGAGGGGAGACTGTCATCACATACGTCAACGCAGTCCAAAGACCACGCGTGCTTCAACCTTCCCACCAATGTCTCAAAGCTGCACACAGTGGATCTTCTCGGAGGAGAACACACTTGCTGTCCGTGACTGTGTTGTTCTTCATTCTTAAGAGTTTGTCCACAACTACTGCGGTGCCTGGTCGGCCACCTTGGACGAGCTGGTACTCTGTTTCTTGTGTACCATGAACATCATGACGGCGGCGATGATGAAGACGCTCATCAGGCAGGCCACCACAATGCCAGCTATGGCCGCCGTGCTCAGCCCTGGTCATGGAAAGGAAAGAGGAACAAAGTGACGTTCACCTCGACTTGTAAACCCGTGTTCCCTTAATGGCGCATTCACACAACCGCGTTGAATTACACCTGACGTCAAGACACGACTGCGACTTACCATGGCATTCAAGCGTTGCGTCGCTTAATTGCCCTAATGCCTTTTAGCTGTATCTAAACGGGGTGTATCTCAAAACGTCCCATTCTCATTTGAACCTTGCACATTTCAACCCATTCTCATTTGGTCCTTCTCGCTTGAACCTTCTCATAAGATCCGAATCGTGTTTTTTGCAACTGGACCCATTCTCATTTCGCCCGTTCGCGCTACGACCGAATGGCGCTAGTTCGGCATGCTTCTAACGACGTTTTGCCTTCGCGGCTTTGTTGATGAGCCTTACCTTGCTTGGACCCCCAATATACCATCAGATATATGTTATGTGTAGAGGTACGCACTGGAGAATCGTATATTGACGCCTGCTTCCCTTCCTCTACGCAAACGGGAAAAAAAAAAAAAGCGATGAACATTTAATTTGGAAATTTTGTTTGAACAGAAATAGCACACATAATAGCAGTGGTTCTCAATCATTGATGTTTCGCGGACGCCTTGTAGAAAGGCGGAGATGATGGAGGACCCCGTTCGGGGTGAGGGGAATAGAAAGGTATAGGTTATTATGATAATGATTTAAAAATGGATATAACTAAGTGCTAATGTAAAGTAGACTTATCTCATTTACATACACACGAGAATACTCTCCCGAAAATTGGAACGTTTCTTCTCAACGTGAAGAAAGACAACTAATATCGCTGTGCATGAGTGATGAGACAGGGCTTCGCGGACCCCTAGGATGTCTTCGCAGACCCCCTTTTGAGAACCACGGCATAGAAGTGGTGGCATTGTCCCAAGTCGAGAGATCTCAAACAACGTGACATTTCGGAGTATGATCTGACTCCGATAAATAGTTGGTCTGTTTTATTGTCAGCTAGTAGCTTTTCACGACGACCTCCACGCACTGCTAAAATCCTTAGCAGTGAAAGTATGCCTGTAGTGTGGCTGGAACACACATACACACACACACACACACACACACACAAACGCACACACAAATTATATCAATGTATTGATATTACCCCCAAAAAAACGGTTTTGGTGTAGAAAGAGTCAAGTGCGACGGGTCAAAGCGAGATATTCTTCAGAATCGCTGTTTTGAAAAGGGCCAGGTGAAAAGGGCGAAACTAGAGCGGGCCCAAATGAGGAGTGTTGGAATGCGAAAGACGAAACGAGAAAGGACCAAATGCGACAGGTCCAAGAGAGAAGATCTTTCTGAGAATGGTTGTTTTGAGAAGGGCCAAGTGAGAAGGTCGAAACGAGAACGGGCTCAAATGATAACCACCCATCTAAACGTAAGCCCCCCCCCCCCCCCCCCCCCCCCCCCCCCCCACCCTAACGCATTCCAACACGGTTAAATAATACTACTGCGTGAATGTTACGCTGGTTAAGTAAGTATCTGCAATGCAATACTTTAACAAAGTTGGCGTCACCCATCGGTATATAAGCAACATTTGTTTTAGAAAAGTAGATGCCCCAATAATTTGCTCGGCGCTAACTATATTGTGCTACGTTGTCAAAACTAGCGTAGCGTCCGCAGTGCTGCAGTCACGCACTACTGCGAGAGCGTATGTACGTGACCTTTTGTGTTCACCTGCGCTCGTGCAAGTAGCTTTCACAGCCTTGGAGCCCTGCGGCCAGCCTTGGCAACGTAGCACACGATACTTGATGCCCAGTATAGGAGCTCCCAATGAATACATTAAAGGCCGAAGCATTTAGACGATACAGTGCCAGAAGTTCGCAGATCTCTTCGGCCGATTGTGAACGGTGCAAGAAATCTGGGAGCGCGCAAAGGCTACACAGCCTTGAGGAACATAGGAATATTGTGGAATATTAATGAGGAATATAATAATTGAGGAATATTGAGGAAGGGACCAAGCAGAGGCCCTTACCGTCTTCGACTTCGAAGACGGTGAAGGATCCGGTGGAAGTTGCCAGGCACGAGACGAGCTTCTGCTTGACGCCCAGCATGGTCATGTCTCGCTGGGTCCACTCTTCGTCCCGCTCGTTCCAGCGGAAGCAGCGCAGCACCTTGCCGGGAACCTTGGACTCGTTGCCAGTCCTGACGCATCTGCAGGCTCAAGGCCTCCTTGACGTCCTTCACCTTCACCTCTTGACCTACGCAAGGCCATCACCCGTCTAAAGCTTGCGGCAATATCTCTGTCTGCAGTGGTGTATTTTATCTGAACCTCTTGTCCCCGGCTTATCTAGTTCGTGTCACGTATTAACCGGTTAAAGGAGCCCGGCTCACGCGTGCGGTCTGTTTTCTGGAACAGCCCGGTTAAGCAGACACTCGCTTCATTGGGTGTCAGGTGAGCGGTACACAGCAAACAGGATACAAGGGAGGATTATAATATATATACCCATGGGGCATCGCAATATTCTGTTGATTTGTTGCCAGTTTACGTTTCTAGTAAACGTATAAGCGCCGAGAAAAGCAACCTAATAAGGATATATTTAAACTAATGGTTACCAATATGTTATTTTATATAGTGGATATGGTCCATTAGCCCAGCAATCTAAACGGCCAGAAATAAATTCTCATAGCAACAGAACACTTTTATGCAGTATATGCGTGAAAGTTATTGCATTGTAGATGTAATTCTCGTGGCACTGGATAGCATCTCAAGGCGCCCACCATGGGTTTTATAGTGACGTGACGAGATAACGTTTAACAAGCTTGGAATTTAGTTATTTACAAGTGTGTTGGTATACACTGCAATCTGAAAAACTTATAGATACCTTCTTTCGATGTGTAAAGCTTGAAATGACTTCTACATTTGAATTATTGACCACCACCCTCGCAGGAACAAATCGACAAAAACGATTTAAAACTAATTTTCTTCCGATAGTTTTCTTTTTAACGTGGTAAATTTCACTGACCAGTGTACGGAGTCCTGAATGTGAGCGACACTACGGGAGCCATCCGGGTTCCAACGTCGCTTTCCACGAATGGATTGTTCTGGTGGACTGTAACGACGAGCACCACTCCCTGGCACTTGTTGGCGCCGCACCTCCACATCTGAAACCTGTGCGGGACATGTAAATACCCTGTATATATACTTGGATTACGCGGTCTCGGGCAAACGGGGTCACAGTACGTGAACATTAATTTCCATCCGCCAAAATGCACACGCAAGCGCATGCTTTTCGTAAGCAAACTGGCACGAGTCATTCTCTTGCGTTGCTTGGAAGCTTACCCTTCTGAACTTTTGGTTTTGTTTCTTGCTTATTTTCACACACCTTCGGGCTTTATCTCTGGGTGTCTGTGCAGCGGTCCAGTGTAAGTACTCTCAGCTGGTGTCAAGGGACATGACTTCAAAGCGAGACACATGACCGATGGAGCAGCCAGCGGGTCGCTTGGCGCGTCGAAAAGATGGCTGAACCTGATCAAGCGCCGGCCAATCACAGCTTCACGTACCTGATGGCCCTCAGCGACCTTTTCGACGACCTGTCGGACGCTTTGTCGTGCAGGTGTCTGCGCTTTTTCTTCAAACAAAGAAGGAAGTGTGTAGTCACAAACACCAACTACCATCAATTATTTCCTACAGTGGGTTTCTTCAACTATTTCGATACACAGAGCACAAACAACAACAACAAAAATATACTTTGTGGCACCGCACCTCTCCCGGAGGTTTTTGTGGAAGGTGACGACGACGTCTGGGACACCTGGCTTCGTCTGGCTCGGAATCGTGACCTGGTCTTTGTTGAGAAATCGATGGTGGATGTGGGTCACTTGGTCGGACACGAAACGAACCATCTGTCCCTTGGGAAGCATAGATGACGTAACCTAGAGGCAAACACGAAACTCAGCGGGTTAAAAGTGGCGCGAATTGTGCCGTCTCCTCAAAAGGACATAAGTGGTACGAAACGAGACCTCTTCAATTCGTTTCTGGGCGTTGTCCACGTTTCTTCGAATTTGATCGTTATCCGGGTGTCGGACGCTAACGTTCCGTGTCCAAAGGTAGACCTCCTCAAGTGTCTCCAGGCTGACTGGAATCTGGAAAATGAAACATTTTAAATAGGTAAAAATAAAATTACAAGTTTGTAGGTGCTAGACTTTAATTAGAGCACGGAATCTCGAACCCAACCGGATTGAATTGAATCTGTCCGGATCAGACATCTAAATACGGCCGGGGTTCAGGCCGTGTGAATGACTTCAGAAGTTGCTTGGGCATACCCTTGCCCGCATAGCACGCGGTAGGCTAATCACTCGCAGGAACGCGTCTAGCCAATCTTGGGTCCTAAATCTGGCAGGCTTCACAAAGCGATACGCGGGCTTGGGCAGTCGGCATGCGAAACATTGTGTTCAGTGCTCGGAAGATTGGGCCAATCCGGCTTGCGGGTTCCATCGTTCGCTGGAACCCGCAAGCCGGATTGGCTTGCGGGTTTTGTGACTTATAGACCGATTCAGTTTTCCCGCTAAATTTGGCGGGCAAATTGAAGTCGCGCGACCTATGCATACGCTGATTAAGTTTTTCCACTAGATTTAGCGGGTACGCCTATGCAGCTTTTCCGCTAAATTTGGCTTGAAACTTTATGTTACGTGACCTGGTGCCACGTTAATAATCCAATTCAGTAAAACATATAAAATAGCGCAACAGGAACAAGGACAAGAGGTAAACAGGACAGGCGCTAACTTTCAACTAGTTTTATTCTGGACAATCGAACACATATATACACACGACAGGCAAAGCAGCACCACGTAAAAGTTGATTAATTTTTCACCCGATCATTCAAAAACTGCTTTGCCTGTCGTGTGTATATATGTGTTCGATTTTCCAGAATAAAACTAGTTGAAAGTTAGCGCCTGTCCTGTTTACTTCTTGTCCTTGTTCCTGTTGCGCTATTTTATATGTTTTACTAAGATGAACCAACTAGCCCAACAACGTACCTTACTAATCCAATTCAGTCTCCTTGCTAAAATTAGCGGAGAGACTGAATTGGACTATAGGTAACGCGGCGTCCGGTCACGCGACGTGATTTTCCCCACTAAACTGACTCACAAGACTTATGTAACAATTTAGTTTCCACGCCAAGTTTAGCGGAAAAAATAATGAAAGGGTAGGTTAAAACAATCGCCTTTTAATTACTGTACTCAGTGCAATATAGGGTTTTGAAGATAAATATCGTTGTTAAATTCTGTTGAACCTGCACCGACCTTTTTGCGTAAAGCGACCTCAGAGGTCACCGACGTGGCTTCCAGGGCCCCAGAGATGATGTCCACGTTGCCTCGATCCATGAGGACCTTGGTGGCCTGGTACACCACGGAGATGTCTCCGGGCTGCAGGTGTTTCATGTTGGTGCTCTGGAACGTTGCTCCCAGCAGCTGATCGAGGACGAGGCTAGGCGCCTCGACGGTGTTGTCCGAGAGCGTTGAGAGGAGCGCAACCACGCTCTCAAGTTTCTTGCCTAAAACACGAGAGAAGGCATTGTTAGTAACATAAAATGTGCTATAGAGCTGATGTCCAAAGATTTGTCACGAAAATATGATAAACGGCAAGTTGTCTTTACAAAGGACTGCGCGCCCTGGCAGAACTCAAACCAATGTCCTCCCGCTCAGTAGTCAGACAAGAAAACATTTCATATGTTCAAACTAAACTTTGAACCATGGCGTAAACGCGCAGTCGCAGGCACCTTAAAGGGATTGTCCGGTCAAATTTCGTATTCGAGAAAACATTTAGACATCACTGTCAGTGGCTCATCTTCCACGACAAATCTGAATTTTGTGTGCTTTCTTGGACGAGAAATTGGATTTTAAACCAAGCTTGCATAGCCGGCGTTTTCATCTTCCACCTTCAGAGCAGCGGAGTCTCTGACGTAACCTAACGCAAATATCGCGCCGAACGGAAGCGCCCTTCGAATTTTGTCTAATGCGTGAGTGCTATACGAAGTGGTTCACTCTTGTTGCTGCGCTATAATTTTTTGAATATTTATTTTTAATGAAATAAGATTCTTGTTGTGCGGATGTTTCGCTCCCCATTTCTCCGCGAGATTTACAGTTGCGAGTGAAGGCGCTGCGTCGGGAGTACTGTTTTTCCATGGAGGAATGAATCATCTATGACTTGACATTTGCAAGCCTGGTGTGACGCGAGAGCAGGCATTAGAGCGCAGCCCTTGATACTTGCGATGTTTGGCATGGCGTTTCATATGACTATCCGTCATAAACTACGCAAAATGGGGGTGTCGTTTAATAAAATAAAAATGGCCTATGTCAATCATTAGTCTCCCGCCAGGTAACCATCACAAAATCTTAAGAACTTCCGGCTTTTCTCGGACAATTCCTTTAAAATTTTTTTTTTAGAACGTGTAGAGTGCGGTCAACGTTTCTACACTACATTTATTAGGCACAATAAGCCGAGCAGCCGCGAGCAGCTGCTTGCGCTTGTAAACTATAGCGAGGTCTTGGAAGAAAAAACATTCTCATTTGTTGTAGTAGAAAAAAAAAAACAAATTGCTGATTGCCATTTTTTGCAAAAACATGAAGACTTTTGTTTATTAATTCTTAGTTCATAGAATAAATATCATGTTCATGAACAAGCTATTGAGAGGGGAACGGTGTCCGGTAAAGCCCCTCGGTGTATTTGCGTTTGTCTTGCAAGTAGCGTCAAATACCGCAGTGCACGAGGCGCGTCTCTGGAGCAGCCTTTGGAAGCAAATGGCGGCGGAGCACCCGCCCGTGGCTTGAATCCTGCGGGTTTCTATGACAATGGTTGGCGATACTTGTAAAAAAACACCTTTATCAAGGGGTTTTAGTGGCCGAGTGTGTTAAACCGTAGCTCGGAAGGCGTGAAGCTCTGCAAAACTCGGGAATCCTGGGTTCAATTCCCGCCCTTGCCCCTTCCGATCTAGTTGAACATCGTTCCGGCGTGCGGTAGTGTATCACTACTCAAGTGCTCATTAAAGACCCTAGGCTGGCAGTTGTACTACACTGGCTAAATTAATTTTCTTCAGCTGTGAGGCAGTTGTCGCCCCTTGAGACAGACTGACTTGAAGATTGTCTGATGGCTAATTACGCTGCTAGATTTGGAGCTTTCCAAGACCGCTTCATGCTCGCGCGTTTAGAGCAGTGAATGCTAACTCGCATTTGCACGTGCATAAAGATGCAAAGAAAAAGGCTCTTCGTAACCGCTTGAAATCTACGTGCGGAATTCACCATAAACGTAACAAAAAATCACAAGCGATACTGAAAGCGCACTCGTGTTGGTGGCTAAGACGACTATAAGTACAATACTGTGGCATTTTTGGGCACGTCACCAGACAAGCTGAGCGTACAAGTTCAATCAATATACAAATATGCGAGCGCGTACTTTTGGAAACGGACCTGCCGCGTGAAAACATCCGCAGCCAAAAATTCTTTCCAAAGCACCGCGCAGAAGGCTGCGACTTTTTCAACTCTGGGGCCCCAAGTCGGACACTCGGCGAGAAAGTCGGCGAGATCTCCGACCGCCGCGATTGGCCAGCGCCAAGGTCAAGCGCGGCGCTGGCCAATCAGAGATCTCGCCGACCTTCTCGCCAAGTGTCCATCTTGGGGCCACTGTAATATACGTGGCTTGCACTGACGTCATATCGCGTACTTTTGACCACCATATAAGAGGAGGAAAGGGAAGCTGCTTTTGTTAGAGTTTTGAGTGCCGGGTCAATCTTTTATAATCTTCTGGGAGGAGAATAGCGACGTCTGTGCCAATCCAGGAGGCACAAAAGAGGATGCTGGTAAGAGGGGAGATCCTTCTTCCCCTCTTCTCTGGTGGTCATCGGGGCGCTCTTTGAATGACGTCACATGCAAGACATGTTTACAAAAGTCTCGAGACGCGGTTGCGTATCTCTTACCTTCTCGATACCGCTTGGACGCGGTCTTGTAAACAATCTGCAGACTGTCTGTGTCATTCGACGGAGGAACCGTAACGAGGGAACTATTGCAGAACAAGCTGCATTGTCCGGATCTATCGCAAACCTGTAAAAGTTCATTAATTATTTTATTTATTTATCTATTTCAGTTCATAGAAAGTCATTACTTATTTAGCTTGATAGAATCCGCGCTACAAAGCATTTTACGACACCTACTGAAGGCCTGCGCGGGGCGCGAGTACCAGCCTACGGCTGGTACTCGCGTTCAATAAAAAAACACGATTCCCAGTCGAATTTTGACGGAGAACACGTGACCAATTAGTGATCCGGCCCTCAGTGGGTGACGTACACAATACTTCAGCTTGGGCGAGTTGGTGGTCCATGCTTACACTTCACAGCGCGCAAGAACAGACACACTTCAAAAGTTCACCCACACAAAGAAAGAACACTCACACTGCGCTGACTCAACTCTGGTTTGTATTGTGCTTCCTCTTAATCTTTTGTTACACTTATATATAATGAACCAATTCAATCTATGGCTGATATTACCAGATAACTTTTCTTATATAGTACCTTTTTTTGATAAAGCTATCGAAGAGGAGCTAACATATGAGCTATCTATTGCGACAATGTTTACGATTTCTATGTTTTTTCTGGTTCGTTTTTTTATTGGTCGTGCCCGAGAGGGTAGACGATTTATCACTACGCCTTTCTATCTGGATGGCGTTGACTGTAAGACTTTCTTCCGGAACTCCTGAGGGCTCTTTTACTTGTATATACTGCGAAACACTAGCCTGGCGTAACGCTATATCGCCTTTACATTACAAAAAAACATTTAATACGCGTTGAGTTTTTGGACTCGAGACTCACTTGAGCGCATATCTTGCTGAAGTTGGTGGGTGGTACGATGAACTCGAGCAAGGGCGAGTGCTGGACTGTGGTGATCGGTACGAGCTCGTCGCCCACGAACAACTGGTACGTCATCGGGTGGGAGCCAGTTGGCACAGAACACGAACGGACCATGGCTCTTGTCTAGAACCAGGTTCGGATCAAAAGGTTATTGCCGACGAAATCTTCAGAAGAAAGGTCAAAAGGTTTCTAGATTAAGCCGGTTTAGAATCCCGCGAAACCAAACAAGGACCTAATACTAGAAGTCTGACAACTATGTCGACCCGAAGTCTACATCCTAAGTGGCGCAAGCTACCGCGTCAGATGCAAAGGGTATAGCCATTCATCCATCCATTCACCTATGACGTGCAGAAATGGCCTTTCAGGTACAACCGAGTAAGGCCGGCCGAGTTATTTACTTATTTCCGAGTCAACACTGGAAGAAGTGTGAACAAGCTTTTTCCTCGAACCCGTGACAGAATGTCTGTTTGGGATCCTGCGAACATCTATGGCATAGAACGGTAAAGATCAAAAGCGCTTGTCATCAAGCGCTTTTGATGACCGAGCGGTTGTTTCCATGTTGACCATGAGCACAGTAGCTAAATATCCGCTTGCTGGAAATCGGGCCTGTATAAATCTCGGCATGCAGTTCGCGTTTTTAGGCATGAGCAGATAGAAAATGCCTTCGGCTTCGTACTCACGACGTTGAAGACTTCGACAGCACCGTCTGCTTCAAACTGCACGCGACACAAGGTGGGTCCCGGCTTAGCGTACAGGGAGACGGTAAGATTCCCACAGCGGTTTTTCTCGCAGATCTTCAGATGAACGCTATATGTCCCGTGGGGCACCAAGCTTTCTGTAGGTCAAAAAGGGTAGTAGATGTAAAATGCAAGAATATCCGAGATGGTACTTTGTAAGGCTATGCTCCGGTTTATAGGCTTCCGTTAAGAACCGAATGAAATTGGCCCAATTAAAGTTTCAGAATCACCTCTAGAAATGACCATCTACTTAATTTGATTATTAACTTACTTTCAGGGAGAGTGAGGTAGGTGTGACCTTCGAGGCCCTTCTTCACCCCAGCCGTGCTGTATTGACACACGAACCCTGGAAGACAATACCAAAAGCACCCAGTCGAATTTCAAAGGTGCACTACAGCGCCACGTGCGAAAATGGTGAATAGCGTAATCAAAGTTGCCTCACATAATTCGGAGAAATTTCGACAGATTCGATAAATTTCGTATTTGATAAGTGTGGGCGTGGTCCCATCCTACTCGGGCGCACGCACAAAGAGTGCTCTGGAATAACCGTGCGAATGATCTGTCTGTCCAAAGTCATCGGTTGGTAGTCTTACCCGGGACACTCCAGTTGATGGACACGGACTTGGAGTGAACTTGAAAGAGTGCGTGGACCACGATCGCGGGACCGGCGGGTACCATGTAAGACGACGTAGTTTCATCATACTCGTACACGGGTGTGTTGCCCACCAGGACATCCTCGAGGGAAACCTGTGAGGAAAGTCCGCGTGTTTCTGGCAGAGCATGAACGGCCCTTCCACCGAGATCCGGTGACCATAACAGAAAAAGGGGGGCGTCGCTCTCTTCAACGTCATCAGCACCCGAAAAATCAAATTATGGGAAGGCGAGACGTTCTGCTCTATTTTCTTATCTTTGAAGGAAGGCAGTCTATAGATGGACGCCTTATTGCAATATAGAGAACGCACGGCGTGTGAAATGCAGTTCCCAGATTTCTTGCGTGAGCTCGACTCGTGAGAATTATACATAGCCACGCCGCGTTCTCCGTCGTTCATGCTTATATCTGGTGCGATTGTGTAGACGCTTGCAAGCAGGGCGACTGACTGCTGCCACGTCTCTGCTCGTGCGGGCACGCCCGTGCACTTGAAAGCTCGTCAAAGCTACGTTCCCGCGTACGCTGCACGTGATTTCACGCACAGGGCACCAGTCGGGGCTCCATGCTTGCAATGCGGATCGCAAGTTCGTCTGCTTCTTTTGCAGGGGTTGTGGTGACGTCAGCTTTGATCAGTTCTTATTAAAGGATGGTGGGAAGACCTCAAAGCAAGCTGCCTTGAGGCCTATTCACTATCCTCCCATCAGAGCCAAGCAGAGCTGGGCGTCGTTCTGACGTCAAAAGAAGCAGACGAACTTGCGCTCCGTATAGGGAGGATTCACTGGCGGCCATAGCTGTGTGCGCGTCTGCTAAGGGCGTGCTGACGGCGAACTTCCGCAGTTCTTTCGCAACGTGCATTCCGCATCATCAAGATTGCCGGCATTAGGGACTTTGAACAAACTGTTAAGCCTAGTTCACATGCAGCGGTTTTGGCCCTAGAGCGGCGCGATTTCTGCCGTCGCGGCGCTCTGGCCAGCACCAGCAATTCAGTGGCACGAGCGCCGCGACGGCAGAAATCGCGCCGCTTTAGGGCCAAAATCGCTGCATGTGAAACCCGCGTTACCGTGTTCCGCGTACCGCACTACCGAAGCCTTTGGAGCATGCTTCTAAACGCTCGCCCCGCGGTCACAGTATCACCCGGGCGCACGCTTAAATAAAAGCATGCTTCAAAGGCTTCGGTAGTGCGGTACGCGAGAACGGTGACAGTTTGCTCAAAAGTCCCTAATATTTCAAAACAAACAACATATTTTAAATAAAAAACGCGCGGTAGTGTTACCGGTACGTTTTTAAGACCGCACTTCGTCAACAAATTGACCAAGTCTTAATGGTATAAACTACTGATGAATCATCAAGATATATTCATCTTCCAGGTCACATTTGTTTGCGTAAATTCTTCTAAATAATCGTTTTCTTTGTTATTTTCTTGTTTTCTAGATAGCTTCGGAAAGTTAGAGCCTCGAATCGCTTTTATTTTTTTTTATTTATCTTCAATTACTCAGAGTAGGACATAACCAATTGCCCATTATGTACTACCCTGCACAAAAACATAAGCAACACCAACAATTTAGCTCTTTTACGATAAGAAAACGTTTTTGTTTGTTCTTGCTTTAAACAGCTATAGTCACGTCTTGGCTGCATAATGCGAAAGTTTTTGTGCTTGGAACTTTTTTTTTTTTTTTCGTAGCCTAGAAAAAAACAATAAAGCAATAAGAAACATAACTTATAATGATCACGTCTTACAGCTCTCCAAAGTTTTCTTCCTCATTCGTGTTAAAAAATACCTAAGAAAGAAGCCCTTAAAGGGCCCATGAAACGATTTTTGGGTTGGGATGAATGATTTAAAATTGGGACTTTAATAATCGCATATCGTTTAGTTGGCCAAAAGAAAGAGGCTAGAAAGTCAAAAGCCAGCTTTTCGGTACGAACATTTGAAAATATAGCGGACTATTTTGTACCTCCTTGCCTTCGAAAGCTGTCCGCCTTTTCACTATGATACATCCGCGGTTCCAAAAGCGCGTCACCGGCGCCAAACTGACGTCAGCAGTGCCCAGCTCACGCATTGGACACAAGAACAGCGTCACTCGGACGTATGCGCTCGTCAACAATCAATCCGTCGACGAATATTTGGATTCGCGTTCGTGGCCAATGAGTGCCCAGACGGAACTTATCATCACTGGGGAATGACAAGTTCTATGGTGTGCATAAGAAGCACGGTGGAAGCTAGGAGTCATTGCACCGGTCCCGAAGGAATGTCACGACCACGTGATTTCACAATTCGCATTTGAGTTGAGGATTAAAGCTAAGGAGGAAGAAGTAGGAAAATCGTTTCTTGACCCCTTTAAAGAAATGTCAACGTATCAGCTTGCCAGCGGAATAATTTCTTCTTGGGTGATCACGAGCGTGGACGTGGCGGCTTTTGCTCCCGGCTCTCCGCTGCTGTTGTCGGTGCGGAACACCTCGAGCGTGAAGTTGAGGCTCTTGCCCGGCTCCAGCCTCTCGGCCATGATCCGGATCACTTCCCGGTTCGTCTCCAGGGGCTTGAGCAGCAGGTCGGACGTCGCCGTCGGGCCGTAGTCGTAGCACGGCTGCAAGTGCTTTCCACAAAGAGAAACAAGCGCGAAAAACAGTCACCCATGTACAGCGTGCGCCCACAAAAAACAATTTTTTTTTGTTTTTGTTTTTTTTCACTGAAGAAATTAACTATTTATTACCGAACACTCATTCTCCGGCCAAACAAAGCATTAGCCCTTCGAACCAGGTACCAAAGAATCTGACCTAACCGTTATCCTAGTCAATATTTATGAAGGATTTTCAGAAATTTCCAACGGGAAAATAGTAGCCTATGAAGCCCACGAATATATGAAGATAAATAACTCCAGCTACTCAAGAAAAAAAAAAAACTATTTTTTTTTATTGGAAGCTTTTTGAAAGTTGCTTAACTTTTGAATAACATAACAGTTAGTTTTCAAACTTTACTGTATGACCCCGACCGTTAGCACCAAATTTGGGTGGTATCTGAGCGTTCGGTGATGTGTAGTTTATTTTTGTGGTAAATCGAAAACTGTATCTTTTTTTCTTTTTTTGCATGGACACTGTTTTGTTGGTCAGCTTCGATATTATATAACAGTCGCGCACACAATTTATGTTTATTGCCGAAGAAGGCGACCTCCGAAGAGCAGAATTCACGATACAAGAGTATAGCGTAATCAGATTGTCGTCACACATTCGAGGACACAAAATATGGACGTCAAGTGCTGGCCAGAAACCAACTAAAAAACTTTACAAACATTTTGCTTCTCAAAATGAACTAGATGGGCAAGTTAATAGTATATATATATATATATATATATATACACAACAACGCCAAGAAATAGTAAAAGGGACAAAAAGGGTCCGAGGTAAAAAGGACCACGCTTCGTCCCCCCTAAGGTGACAGTACGCTGGGAACCACCCGCTCACTGACCAATCAAAGGACTTCTTTTCATCCCCCGACTTCATCCTTTGCGAGTGGGCAAGGGCACGAGCTTATAAGCACGTGACGAACAATCGTCGTTTGGCTGGACCAGCGAGCAAAGAGCTCTCCCACCGCGCTGTCGGCTTAGGGATGACTGGAGGGGGGGGGGGGGGGGGGCACATAGTGTTCGGGTCATAGCGCAAAGAGGTCCTGCCACCGAGCGGACATAAGAAAAAGCCGCCTCGTGCGTCGGCGAGGCGTAAGCTTGCGCCATCTTGTGAGCGATGAAGGAGCTAATTTGCGCGCGGTCCACACGATTTGTACGAAGTGCGCGCTGGTCTTGTAACTGGCCGTCCCGAGTTACGGGAAGGGAACAAAAGGGTTAATTAAGATCATTGTGCATCATCGCAACTTTGTTTATATCTTGGTCCCATGTCGCAACCGTGTAGTTCGCTATGGTAAGGGCGGGGATCCAATTCGACAGACCAAGGTGATACGACGGTACTCCACTTCCCCTTGTGAGAAAATTCCGCTCGCATTTTATAGCAATGCAAGCAACAACAAAAAAAGTTCGAAAAAAAAACAAATTTCCTTCAAGTCAAAACTTGCGAGGCCATTTTGAAGGTATTACTGGCTGAGACTCATTCTCTTCCTAACGTTATGTCACGTTACGAACGCTTATAAAGTCACCGGGCCATATGTGCTCATACCTGAAACACGAATGTTTCGGTGACTTATACGTAACGCTAAAAAACGTAAGTAAACGGGACTGTGCAAACCTTAGAGCCGAGGTCACACTGCTCATACACCCTACAAAAGAGAGTCTGCATACAGATTCGAACGAGAGTCATTACGAGATCCGTGCTGCGAATGCCGCGTGGCATTGAGTTCAGGGAGAAACTTGGCACGCGGCATTCGAACCACGCATAGTTGGGTGACCCGTGTTTGCAGACTGTCTTTTGTATGAGATATGAGCAGCGTGACCCAAATTTACGACTCGAACCAGTGTTAGGTAAAGTGCATCATAAAAATATTTGAAGTACAAAGTAAATGAGAGGTTATGTACTTCAAGTAAAGCAGTAAGTAGACTCCGGGCGCAATGTACAGGGTGTCACAAAAGAAAATTTACGCAGCCTTTTTCACCGCAAAAATAAACTAGACATTGCCAAACGCTCATTCTCCAACCAAAGGTAGAGCTAAAGGTCACAACCAGATGCCAAAGTTGCAGCCGGATCCGATAACTTAATCAAAAGTTATAAGTGATTTTCTGAAAATTTCAATGGGAAAATGGAGCCCATATTTGCCCGTTTTCGGTTTCTGGTGCCATAGAGCTCCATGTGTTCGGAAACTCCGTCGTCCGCCATTTTCCCATTGAAATTTTCAGAAAATCACTTATAACTTTTGATTAAGTTATCGGATCGGGCTGAAACTTTGGCATCTGGTTGTGACCTCTAGCGCTACCTTTGGGTGGAGAAGGAGCGTTCGGCGATGCCTAGTTTATTTTTGCGGTAAAAAAGACCGTGTAAATTTTCTTTTGTGACACCCTGTACTTGAAGATAAGTACTACAAATACGATGCACTTTCAAAGTACGAGTACCTTTTAACACAATGGTTCATGACGGGCGAGTGCTGTCCTGACCTGTTGGTGACTGCTATTGGCTATGCAATTTGTCATGCTTACGCAGAAGCAAAGTATTAGTATCAATGCTGCGTGCAATGCGACCGGGTAGGTCGTTCCACTAAGCTTATAGTACATATATGACATATTACTTCGAATGAGAGCGTTGATAGGGATGAGCTATCTTGTGAAAACCAAAATGTGTTAAATCATTAACAAGGCCATAGACTTACTTCGTCGAGACAGCTCCACTGATAGACCAAGGGATCCTGCCCTCCGCTCGAGGGAGACCCGTTCAGAATGACGTCGTTCTGGCCTTGACCTGCCATACGTGAAGGGCCTCCTGGGGGGATTCAAAACCTGTTCGTAACGGCTTCGAGGAGGAGATCGCGTAAGCAGTATTGTATGAGTGTAAACAGTTTCCCTGGATACCTTTGATGACTGCCTTCAGGTCCGAAGAGCCGACGCTGAGAGTAACGGAAGATTCGCCGTAAGCCCACTGGGTCGGGTAGCTGAACACCCGAACTTGGAACGTCACATTGCTGTCCGCTAGAAGGTTCATAAAAGATAAAACTCTGAAATTAGACTACTCTCCCTACCCATTTGTATAAAATGGCGTCTCACTTCTAAAACTGAGGACTCTAACTAAAGGTGCGACTAAATCTTTGTGGTTAAAATCGGCGAATCTAAACTTGCGACGTCTATTTTTTTTTAATTTTGTTTCTTTATTATATACTTTAAAGCTCCTGAAATATTAAATGAAAGTGTAACACATAAAATGGCATAAAAGGCTAGCATAATCTTAGTAAAACGGAGTAGACTAATTAAACTATGCAACTTGCTTCCTCTTAGTGGGGGATGCAGTCTGGCCTGAAGCCACATCTCCTTAATCTAAGAGGTGTTGCTCCGGGCCAGACTGAATTACCTCTTAGATCAAGGCGATGTTGCTTTAAGTTAAACTAACTGCCGCCGGTAGTTCTACAATGTCTCAATTTATCTAAGATTAAAAAAAAAAACAAAAAAAAAAAAAACAGGGTTCTATACTCCTTCGCCCTAATTTCCGTTAGAGTTTTATCAGAAGGCCGAAAATACTGCACAAACACTTGCTAATTTGTTCAGGCTCGTAGTGTTTAGTATAGTGGAGCTACACAACTCCCCCTCTTGTTTTTGCAACAACATAGTTTTATTTTCAGTTATCATTTTTTTTTCCAAGCAGGGTGGGAGGAATCTTTGGAAAGGTCCTTGGCGCTAAATGCTAAACCAGTCACCTGACAGGCACAAAGAACAAACTATTTTCCCATAAATCTTAAACAAAACGGGCAGCACCGAATGATCGCCAACCTCATCTGCTTTTTCCTCGTGTCTTTTCACCGTGAGTCTATGCTTCTTCGGGTTTTTCCGGTATCGCCTATATAAAGTGTCAAGTGTCTGGGAGTCTGCTCACGTGGCAGGGCGTAGGGTGCGATCCTGTAAACCGGGCTGTTCTGGCTGCCGAAGTCGAAGCGGACTCTCGGGTCGTCCACGGTCCAGTCGAGCTCCAGGTCGTCGAGGGTGCCGTTGCAATCCGGCACGGCGGTTTCAGCGTACAGAAACAACCTTTGAAACACGAGGAACACAGACACCTCTTTTTATGGGCAAATACTCGGTCGAGAAATATTAAGACCTAAAAGTGCGTTCGTTTAAACGAGACCCATTGAAGTAGCTGCTGCTATACTCCGTGTCAGTCTACGACGTACGGGCCGCAGTGGGCGCTTCGGGCCATTCCAGTCAGTCTAGCGCTGTGATCTTATCACGTGATTGCGCCTCTTCCAAAACTTACGTGATTGCGCACGTCATTAGGTTGGCTCCGGTGGCTCGTGGCGTCTTCCGTGGTTTATCGTAAGACAAAATGAAATGTACACTAAAAAAATAATCTGGAGTGCCGGCTTTCCCGCAATACACTCTCGAGAGCCCATCGCGGCATTCTACGGATAGACCTTGACGAATGACGTGGTGGCAAATATGTTGAGGCCTAAGAAAGAACAAACTGCTTTGTGGCTCTGACCATCGCGTTTCACCGTCCTCAATATCACACCGCACACTTTTTTTCTCCCGTACAACTGGTAAGGATGCGGAATGGCAAGTCACGCAAGTCGTACAAAGTATTAACCCTGCCTCCATCTGTGCCAATCGTTTTTAGCTTTTCGTACGCACCTCGACAATCGTTGTTTGTCTAATGAATAACTAAGGAATAAGTTACCGATATTTATGTTTCCCAACTCACTCGTCTTCCGGCGATACGGGTCTCTGGTTTAAAATGGCGTCGCTGTAGAGCACCACAATGGGGGCGTTGACATCTCTTCTCGTTAGTAGGTGGGCAGCCTCGGCAATGTTCCTCGTGTCTGCAGTCACCTTGAGAGGCCAGAAAGTTGTTAGTTTCGTACTTTCGCGTCACTTTAGACAAAAGTTTACGAAGCGGTATAGCTGACAGCGAGATGCCGGGCGATCCCTCTTATCTCTAATGGACATCATACTTCATGACGCCATTGCTCTGCTGCAGTAGCAAGTATACCACAAAAGACCATCACACTGTTTACAAACAAGTCAGTCTTTACGCGCACAAGGTGCGGGCACTGCGCATGCGCAGTGCCGTCGACAGCGCCACCGCAGCTGCGTGACATCAGGGCCGCGTGTTGGTCTATAGACCATCACGCTGTTTACAGACGAGTCAGTCTTTGCCAACACCAGGTGTGGCGACTGCGCCTGCTCAGAAGCCAGATTTGTGTGAAACGCCTGCTCACGCGACATGCTGACCGCAGCGCCACCGCATCGGTGTGACGTCAGATCCGAGAGTTGGTCTCTGATGACCATTCTGCTCATTCTTACGTGCCACTTGCTCCACCTTCTGTGAGTTCGACTGGCCTTAATATCTATAGGAAAAGATAGTCCTGCTTCGATTTATTTAAGGGATCTTCCTTCGCATGGTACCGTTTTTGTTTTTCCTTGGCTAAGTATTCGCTAATTGAAGGCCGAAGACCAACTGGGTCTTTATCGTTGTGTTGTGGCTATATTTTCGCGTTCGATATGCGGGTCACAAATGACACAAGTTGTACTTTTTAGAAACTTGAAGACATCATTCTCAGTGACACTTAGCCCAAGTAAAGTTATAGTTTCGTGGGTCCTTTACTTTTTAGCTCCTTTATTTATAGTTAGCTAAATTATAACATAAACTATAACATTTAGTAAAGTTATAGTTTCATGGCTTCTTTACTTTTTACCTGAAAATCCCGTATAAAATAATTAGGAAACCCGGAAAGTTATTTTTGTTTCCTCCGGCTGCATTTTTCAGAAGGAAAATTTCAGCAAGATTTCAGCAAATGGAATGATTATGCCGAATAAAGAAAGCACCACCCTTAAACGGGCGATGCAACTATTTTTCTACGTTGCACAAATACCGCTTAGAACGAATCCTTGACGTTAATGAACTAGGAGACACGCGTTCGTTTTTTACCGCACGAAATCGAACTCGCAGAGAAAATTAAAGAAAAACGAGCAGCGTTCACCCCTCAACTCGCAGCCAGAACAATCGGCCACGTGATCTGGAACCGATTAAATGCCGCCAATGTTGATCATGGCCACGCGCTGAGTTCCAGACATTGTTATGGTTCGGCTATTGTCGTCATTGCAGCGATTGGACACGGGCCACTACACGAATGCTTGTGCAGTTATTGATTATTACGAGCCCAAATCGAGTGCGGACGCAATGTTCGGGTCCAAGCCACATTCAAAATACCGCAACAAAGGAGTTTCTTGGGTCCCACTAGTGCCAGTAAGCTCATGAAAAGTGAAAAAAACATTCCAAGCGGATATCGTTGCACTGCCCTCTTAAGTTTTTCTTTTAGAGCACTGGCTCCAAAATTCCAATAAATTTTCCGCAGATTTTAAATCTGTTTTGTTTTTGTTGTGTTTTGATGGCTTATGTTATGTATTTTAGTTTGTTAGGCCGATATGTACCTTCACGGTAAACTTGTACTGCATTTCCATCTCAAGGTCTTCAGCTTCCAGGATCAGGTAGGGGCCGGTGTTCGCTGCGTATAGAAACATTTAGTCGATAAACGAGTACGAACATAGGAGTTCTCATTCTTTTTATCGTTGCCTCTCATTTACAAGGGCAGCCGCCCTCGCTTCGAAAATTGCAAAATAACTCTACCTAATAAAACCAAGAACTAAGCTTATTTCGCCATCCTTAGATATGAGTAGACGTTGGCGAAAGTATATTCCGGGTACGAAGTAATTTTCCTGCTTAGAAGCTACAAATTCCTCCTAAAACTGAGCCTACACGGTAAACCTAAATACTTGTCAATTGTAAAATTACGCAGTCAAACTTCATGCCCGTTTGGTTGCGAGAGGACACATTCACGGCATTTTGTACAGGTAGCAGCAGATAAGAATGACTACGGATGGTCCTGGTTTTTTTTGTTTATTTGCTCCAAGTTGTAATTACATTTTTGGAAGATTTACAGCGTAAAAAAAAAAAATATATAAAATACATTAAATGGGTCTGTGAAAGCTAAAGTCGATATAGTTCTTTTTTTTTTTTTTACAAATGGCGCTAGGTAATTTTTATTTGAGAAAATACTTAGGTAAGAACTTGATGTTGCAACTAAGATCTGATTATGTTTTTAGAAGCTAGCGACAAGTACACCAACGCGCTGAAGGCTAGCACCGTGTCTCATGCAAACCCTAGTTAAATGCCGGATTCAAGAACAAAACGGTGTTTGTAGATCGCCAGCTTTAAGAAGACGGGTTAGGTGGTGAATGTAATTAGTCATGGAAAAAATATACCAAAATATGACCTATTTTAACGTTCACGGGCTCGTGGTTGGTAGATATGAACATCAAGATAATGATGGATTAAGTGATGCTGACCACAGAATGCCAACAAAACAGTTCTTTTTTTTTTTTCTTATAATGCGCATGGTCGTAAACTTCACGGTCTTCTGCTTGTTTTTCAATGTTTTCCACAACTTCAACAGCGGGAGTACTTCGGCAGTGAATCAAGCTAAGCACTTAGGAGAATAAACAAGATGGCAGCGAATTTAATGAATCCTATAATGCATAAAATGCAGTAGTTAAGTAGCATTCGTTTAAATTTCTTTTTTTGAAAAAATCAGACAGTCGTTTTGGGGTGTGAAGAAAAAATCTATTTTAGCTTTTTTTGCGAGGGAACTGGCTTTGTGCGTGCGTCACGATACATCAATTTCCGCGCCAAATTTAGCGACGAAACAAAATTTGTCTATAGGTCCATGACATCAGGTCATGTGACTTCAAATTTTCCACCTAATTTAGCGGAGAAACGTACATGAATTTATAGGTCACGTGACGTCAAGTTTTCTCATTAAATTTAGCGGGAAATACATGGACGGACGGACGGAGAAACTTTTGGGATTGGTTTTTGAATTAATTGAACATGGACGGACGAACGGAGAAATTTTGGGAGGGAGCTTTAAAAAAAAAAAAAGAAATGCATGATTTCATGATTTGAAAATGCGTGTTTTCCGTCCCCGCACGGTCTCAAAAATTCGTTCAACACTTCTGTAAGAACCATCTTGCGGCAGCGATTCCTGCAGCTGTTGTCGCCGGAGTTCCTACAACCCTTTTCCAAAATACCTTTGAGGAGGGCCTTGAGGTGATCCTCGAGCGGCGCGCTGTCGTTGCGCGTTGCCGTCCACGCGAAGGCCTCAACAGGACCGGCGCCCCACGAGTAGTGTACGGTCAGCTCCAGTCTGCCGCAGCGCGGCGCCACGGTCGGGCCACTGATAGCCGCCAGCAGGGGGCCGGGGTTCGGGGGCGTCACACGTCTCGCATCCACCTTCTGAACAACGCGGACGCAAGCACCCATAAACGGGATAAGAAAGAAATAAAAAAATAAAGACGTGTACAACTCTCTGTAATGCCGAATTAGAGCGCAGCTCTTGAGAGGGAGGAGGGGAAGGTATGTCCCTCCTCCCTGTGCGGCGTAGAGAAGAGCAAGTCGACGTTAACGCAGCAAACATGTGCAAGAGCGTCGAGAAAGACTAAAGATATGCCAAGAGTATGCTTATCATCTGCTCCAGTGAAGTATAGCTGAGACTGTATACTTTTTTTTTCTCAGGCTTTACTTTTCAAGTTTTTGTATTGGAAAAGCCGTTTCTTCCCCACCCGTCGTTTGCGCATAGTGTCTCTTCTATTGAAGGTGCTTCACCGTCTGCACCAGTGCATGAAGTGAAGCACCTGTTGTGAGCGCTGTATTTTAGTTCTTTCTTTCACCTGCCCGAACTCATGAACCGAGTTATGCAAAACAATAGTTTCTTATTCGTGATAATGTAACTTGACCAAAACAATGTTTTATTTATTAAAAAAAAATGTTTCGATAATGTTGGAAAGTTTATAACTAAAGTCAGACAGACTTGCACTATAAGTTTACACAATGTTTTGAACAGAAAAGAAAAATAGGGTCCAAGAAAGAAGAACACTTTTTTGTATGTTTTTGTGACATTTGATTATCTTTACCTCCATCTCGGTCTTCAAAGTCGTTAACAACAATCAACTCAGAAACTACCTATTAAACAAATTAAAATATGATTTCGACAGAAGTTTTACGATACTAAATGACTGATTTAAACTTATAGTGAGTTGCAGTAGGTAAGACGACGTAATAAATTAGTGTTCGTAATGGTAAGTTTCCCTCTGGAGAGGAGAATTACCGATAAAAAAGATATAAGAAGACACAGTGAAAGCAAATGTGCGCAAGATTTTCAAAATACTGAGTGCGCATCCTTTCTATTTTCTGTCTTCAAATACAACTTATAAATTAAGAGGTGGCATACCAAGTCTTCTCCGATGTTCATAACCACCGACTGTTTGTCTTCAGTAACCATATCGGAATTGAGTGACAGCCTCAATTTCTCTCCTGCGTGGCAAAACAAGAACAAACAAAAAATTAATAAAAATATTCTGCGTGAGAAATGTGTAGGCTGTATAGTCGTTGTTAAGTAAAAGAAAAAAAAAAAAAACCAAAAGCGAATTTTTACGTTACTACATGGGTGGAGTTCTAAAAACAAACCTTGTACTGTTCCAGATCGAAACGCGGTCGCATGACAGCCTCTACACAGTGTGGAAAATTTGTTCCATTATCTGAGTGCCCGAAAGCCTGTTCACACAAGTGCGTTTGCTTACGACCGAGTTTTTGTGGTCTCATATGCCGAAAGCAGAGCCGTATATGGGGAGAGTCTGGCCAGTGGGCTTGGCAACATTGGCGCTGGAGAGGAGAAGAGTGGAGGAGAGGGAAGAGAGCGCCGAAGGAGCGAGACAGGAAAGAGGGAGGGATCAAATTGGAAACGACCGCCATTTTGACGCAACACGCTTTCGGTGCAGAGCACTGTTGAAGCTACGCGTCGTCTGCTGCGGGTCGACTTCTTTTTCGCCTGACTAAACGTTTGCGGTCATACGTCGAAAAGGCTTAATTCGTTAGCTTTTTAACCAACCGAAGGTACCAGTTTATCATTTTCTTACTAGAGCCAGCGATATAAAGGGAAATAACCGAAATTGAGGTGCCAATCCCGTACATCCCACCGGGCGAAAGAATGAAAATGGCGGTCCTCCCCGCTCAGCTAAGATCAGCCGGGGGTTCACGCGCGTGCACTCACGCCTCTCACTCTGCGCGCGGACTGATTGGCTCATTTGGGAGGAGGGGGGGGGGGGGGGGGCGTTACGGCGGCGAAATCATAAACTGACTAAACTCGGCCGAGAGAATACGCTGACGCCATCTATGAGGGGACCCTGGAACTGCATCTCACTATGGTTATGCGGTATTCACGAGATTAAATGTACGTACTATCGGAAATGTTCGTTCACAACATGGTCAAAAGCCGTTTAAGGCCAAAGCGAAAGAATAATTGCAAAAAAAAAAAAGGAAATGGACGGTAACTGCAAGTGTTCCGCAACTACCCGATATATGGTGCCAGTGTATTTTCTCGTGGTGAGAAATTCCAAGATGTTTTAAGGCATTCGGTCATAAGTAGTCGCAAATGTGGAGGTGTTGCCAGTATGAAATATGAATAAAAAGGGTAGATGTTGGACGTATAAGAGGGTCACATCAGAGGGTCACTTCATTTTTTAACGCGTGTGTTGTAATGTTACTCAAGGAAGCAAGAGCTAATGTTAGATGATTGTTTCATTATCAAAGGAAGGTGAGTATACAGTGATATATCTCGATAATAAGGATGCCGTTAATATAAATGCACCCCGCTACATAGACAACATTTCCGGGTACGAACTGGCCATATGCAGTCATTTTTATAAGGTTATAATATAAGACTCACATATAGGCACGGGTTTTGGGCTAACTGTAGACATTAACAAGCCATCACTGTATTCTTGGTTTTCTTTAGTCGTCTAGAACGGCAATCGTTTTTTGGACAACGCAACCTCACGAAAGCTTATCTCGATACCCCGTTATTAAAGTTAATATATATTCGATGGAAGTGAACACTTTTAAGACAAGGTCCAGAAATTCTTGGTGACATATCACTTTTTGAATGTTTCCCTATCGATTCAGATATTTCCATGACAATAAAAGACGGGTATTCTAGTCAAATTATAACATATAAGGGATGAGAAGTGTGTATTAAATAACAAATTGTGTTTGAATGCATTTTGTAATTACAGTTTGAACAGAAATAATGGCATCACCTGCGACGCTCTTCCCAAGCTGTATGATGAGCTGATGTTTGGTGGCCCAAAGGCACTGGCTGTTTTCTCCATCGATAGCGTTTAACGTATCCGCCGCTAGTATGGCGCTGCACTCGTCAAGGCGGCACACGTTCACTGGCCGGTCAAACAAGACCACGGCACTACTTCCTGGACAAAAAAGAAAAAAAGAAAAACAAGCAATGACACAAGCATTTTTTAAAAATACATTTTGAGTAGCATGCGTTCTTAAAGTGATTTTTGTTTTTCATATTTGCTACCTTATTTAAGTTTTTTTTTAATCGAAAGTGTTTCGGTGAAAGCGGCTGCTAAAGTGAAGGTTCTCCGGCGTAAAGAGCGTACCGTCTCCGGTGATGTAGGCTGCCTTGATCTGCGGTCTGGTGGCGTAAAGCGACAAGTTGAACCCCCTGGAAAGAGGGTGCTGTCCGTCGAGCGAAGGGAAGACCACGAAGTCGCCCGAGGTCTTTTGGAACGGAACATGGCACTGGCTGTGCGACGCAGGGGCCGGACCACTCGGAATAACCACCGCGGACCTCTGACTTCGGTCTGAAGAAAGGCACCAGTGGATGGGTACACACGCGTTTCCGGTTTCAGACAAATGTAAAAAAAAAATAAAAAATATTGCTGTTTTATTTTTTGCATTGTTTAACACGATGATTATACTTAAGAAAAAAAATGGCTTGAGGAAAATGGAGGGTGAGGGCAAGATGAGATTGGTCCCAGTCTGGCCACCATCGAAGTCGGCGGTGGCCATTTCGGGTTCCCTAATGACGGCCGAAAGTGGAGCCAATATGGCGCCCAGGCTGGGGCTCACGCACCCGCAAAGACATGTTAAGAGAGAGCGGCCGACCAAAAACCCGTACCCTTGCGCGTGTTGAAGAGCCACACGCAACAATGTTGACATAAACACCCAAGTACGATCGCGTACCCACAAACGACGACACTTACGTACGCGTACGCGCACGCCTAGATGTGCTCATGCTCACGTAGAGAAAGAAAAGACAACACTCGCCAAAAATCTCACAAGGGAAAGCTCAGAAGGGTATACCAAGCTATCAAGACCGCAATCAAAAACGTATTCGCTCACATGATCATGTAAACGGACAGGATAAGCATGCCTACATACACGCACACTTGTGGCACATGCCATGCGTGTGACATGCGCAGGCGCATGCACGCGCACATACACGCGCGCAGAGATTCACGCGAAACATGGAAAGAACGTAACACTTGGAAAGTACGGGTTCGTGAGAGGCAGATGATCTGAACTCTGCCACAAACAAAAAGAAACAAAAAACAAAGCAGCAGTAGATGGTTTGCAAGTACGAGCCCTCATCGTTGGTGTATTACATTTACGTCTGAATCTGAGCTCCGTACCTGTTGGTTGCAAGATGCAGTAGAGCGGGAACTTGGGGACGTCACCTCCGGTGAAGGCCAGCCTCAATGAGTCCCCCTTGTTTTCTTCCTTTCGATACGGCGCAGTGGTCGGCTCCATCTTGTCAAAGCCGACTGAAGGGGACAACAGTAAAGTCGACGAGTTCCAAAATGATGCACAATATTTTGTTATTATGGACAATTATCAACGCTGCAGTCTTTGACTCGTCCAACTACACGATCTGGATTTCCTTGAAACGTTGACCGATTATTTTTCCTCTCCTCTAACTTACAAGTTCTGATAGCTGCTACAAAAGCACGAGGGGGTCCTTGCTTTGTTTGTTTTGACTAGGTGTTCACTTGTTGACTGTCAGGGGATTCGCGTCCGTGCCTCGTACGGCGCCGCAATAGAACACTCGCGACAAAGTATACAGGGTGTTTCACGAAAGGTGAACAAATTCGATATTGCGAAAACTACGCGCCGCAACGAAAGATGGCTTGTGTCGTTTTGGTCCTGGGCCAGAGGCCTATTTAAGAAAATGAGTGAAGTCCGGGATAAATAGATTGGTAATTCTTTTTGCGCAATAAACTTATTTAATATTGTGTTTAAGGGCATGGTTTCAAATAAAAAACTGCTCAGCATCATCGAAAAACACTAAATCAACAAATTGCAGAACGATAGAAGGCACGTGCAACATTTTACGGCAACACTCAGGGAACCAATGCCCGCAACTTACGAATGACCATGCAACTTTCTGCATCGTCATTCGCTCAACGAATGACGATGCAGAAACATATGTTTAGACCAAAAAACGCAGACTGAGTTTTGATATTAAGCCATGCAAGCGTGACGTTTTGCATTGCTTAATGTCACAACTCAGACTGCGTTTTTTGGTCTAACCAGATGCTTAGACATCGTCACTTGCTGAGCTGCCTCAGTAAGTTGCGCTGATTGGTTCTCCGAGTGTTGTGCGTAAAAATAGACGCGCAGGCTTTTTTTAGAGTGTAGTGGGAGAGCGTGATGTCACCGCGGGACAACAGCTCAAGCAAAAGGAAGACACGCACACACGCACACACACGCGCGCACACACACGCGCGCACACACACACACACACGCGCGCGCGCGCACGCGCACGCACGCGCACGCGCGCACGCACGCACGCGCGCGCACGCGCACGCGCACGCACACGCACACGCACACGCACTCTCTCTCTCTCTCTTTCTCTCTCTCTCTCTCTCTCTCTCTCTCTCAGAAAATCTTTAATACGTGTAGAAACATTACTCGAAAACATTTCACACCCGCGTGACTCTAATGCTTTCGCATTCCTACGCGTAAGCAGGGTTCGGCGAATTTTTATTTCGATCGGAAAAAAAAAGTTCTCACCGTCTTTGTTGAATACGGTGAGGATGACATTCGAGTTGTTGACCTCCTTTCCCAGCCTGGACAATCGAGGAGTGACCAGGTACGTCCCTTGATAGATAACAAACTTGGTTAGGAACACCAGTTCTCTCGGTGCCTGACAACTTAAAGCAACGTTTGAACTCACGGCAGCTCATTGTGATTCCGTAGCCAAAGCGACCGCAGCGTCATCCGCCAAGAAGGCAGAAGAACGAACGACGAATACAAAAGAGGGAACCCGCTAAACCTCGCCCGTGTTTCTCGAGCGACTGTCCGCGACTTTAACAATGGTCAGTGGCTTTCGCTGGCAGAATAAAAACCGTTCAGTACGCGAAGAGCATTACACTGTAACAAAATAGGATTGTAAAGGTCACGTAAGCTACGAGTATGCGACGGCGCATGGCGAATAAGCCCCAGATCTCGTTCTTTCTGAGTCGTCCAACATTGAAACGGACTACCGCTGCTTGTGTTCACATGTCAACACCTTTTCTAATGCTTCCTGGAGTTCCTCATTGATTCATTATGCTTTGGGGTGTTTTCACGTCAGCTCACTCCGCCATTTTGTTGTCGGATGTCCCGCGATAAAACGTACAGGTATCAGGTATTTGGTGCCGGAGAAATCTTTGGAACGCTTGCCTTTTTCGCGCGCCAGGCAGCTCCTAACAAATAAATGGTGGGCACAATTAAGTCAGTGAAAACACCCTATAGCGTCAACTACGAAGTGACTTGAATGTATCGTAGTTGACAGCTCCAGCCTCCAGGTACTCACTGGCTAGAGCGGGTCCCTCGAAAACTGTGCCCTGTCAGCTCTCGGTGGACTGCAGCGGACGCTACGAACCAACCCCGCCAATGAAACGCTGTCAACGTATCACGTGAATATGCGACCCTCTCATCGCTGCGCCCCTCCCGTAGGCAACGTGTCAGTCACAGGGCATTGGATAGGCTCCGAGAGGCTCGTAGTATTCGCTGCAGTATATCTCAAGGTGAAACTAGTGAAACAGCTAGAGTATGCGGAGGGCAAGTTCTTGTGCTTCTTTTGCAAGGGTTGTGGTAACGTCAGAACACCGAGCCCTCATTGCCTCTGATTGGAGGATAGTAGGTAGACCTCAATGGCTGGATGCCTCGAGGTCTACGCACCATTCCTCAATTAAAGCCAATCAGAGCACGGGGTTCTGACGTCTCCATGACCAATGAAAAAGAAGCAGACCAACTAAAGGTCGGTTCTCACATGCAGCGAAGCGCTGATGTAGCGCTGCTCACGTGTCGTGACGGTGCGATACAAAGCTGGTGAAGGCTCCCGTCAGCACGCGCTTAGCGCGAGGCCAGCGCTAGGCTTGTAGCGCTCCGCTGCATGTGTGAACAGGCCTTGAAGCCGCTCATAAATTTGGGAGTGCTCTGGACGTGACTTTTTTGTCTGCATTTGCGTGGAAAGCCAATCACTGCGATATTAGTAAAAAAATAAGAACCCCTAAATAAACAAACTTTTTTCTTCTTTTTTTCTACCAAGGGAAATGCTTAGTCATTCAGCAAACGTTTTACAAGTGCTTCAATTCGCGATATGAGATTACCTTTCGCGTTTATTGCTACGAATGTGCGAATTGTGGTACGAATTGGATAGCGTTACATAATAGATAGCCTTCATACTGCAAGTGAAAGTCGTAACGTACCGACTTTCTTTTCACTGATAAAGCTGGGAAAGGCGCTGCGCTATTAAACTCGAAGCTACGTTTGCTCAACCTTAATTATTATAACATTTCTGTAATATATTTATTCTCATTATCCCCTCCTACTCACGTATACGAGTATTCCTGCCTTGCGAAGCGATAGACACTGTGCGTGCCGCTCAGAAACAAAATAGAAGAGCGTAATACACCTCATTTCAAAGTGTGCCCTCTGTCGGAAGCTGTGACATCCCTCCACAATGGCGGATAAATGAGTCACCGCCAAAATTGGAACAGTAGAAATGTGACTACCTCTACTTCATTATGATATTATCTAGGCTTGCACGTTCCGCGGTGGTGATTTTTCCACTAGTGTAGGATGTTTCAGACCTAATAATAATCTAAAGGTGACTTTCAAAAGCCGTCTATCGCACTGCACACTTAATTGGCTTTGTCTCATTTGTGCATCTATGCTGTTATACTTTCAAGAAAGCACTCAATGCTTTGCTGTTTGCTGCACCACTTGACAAAATCCGCGCCTCTGCAGGCCGTTTCTTTTTTTCTTCTTTTTTTTTTTTTACAACAGGTGGCAAAAAATGTTAATCGCTCACAAAATTAGTGCATGGGAACATTTCTGATGGAACGCCGTTTCGTTTAATGCAATTTATGGCGGAGAGCAAGAGAAAAAAACGGTGTACGCAGAGTTAACGTCGTTTTCTCTTTTTTTTTTTATTTCTGGTTTTTGCGACATCGATTGTATCGTCACCGTTAACGATACATGCTAATTGTGCGCGTGCGCTTGAGCCTATTTTGACCAGGATCGTAACACATTTTACAACGGGGCTCTTTTTGGAAAAAAATTAAGTAAAGGTTACCCTTTGAGTTCCCACGAACATTTTTCAAACCTGGAGTTTGAACATCAAACCTAGAGGAACCTTTTCAAATTTTAGAACCTGTGACGTGAAATTTAACAATTTTTCAACTTTGAAAGGCTATTGCCGTCTTCTTCAGACTATCAGACACAGTGCACCTTGAAACATGACTGCTTTATTAGTGCATAAAGAAGCTGTACCATACAGAAATTATTATTGACATGTCATTTACAAACATCCGTCACGTCTTGTCATATTCAACGATCTTAGAGAAGAAAAACAATATTTGTATAGTCCGAACCTGTAGATAGCTCACAGCGCGTATAATTTAAAAGTTTTAACATGAATATTCCGCAGACTACCTACTATATAATCAAAAAAATAAAATATGTAAAAAACAGAATCGTCAATTTTTGTACTGGTTAACGAATTATACGTTTAGAAATTCGTTGATTTTCAAACTTCCGAAACTGTCCAACTCGAACTTTCAGAAACACCGAAAGCTTCGAATTTCGCGAATTCGAATACTGGCTGTTAACATAACTGGGTGGAATCGGAAAGTCGCAAAAGTTTGCGAATTGGAGACCTCAGCGATATTTAAAAAAAGTTTCAAAACCTTGGCAACTCAAACCTCACGAGGTTCGCACCACCTCTGCTCACCCTGCTGGAAGCTCCTGGGCAGGCAGGTGAAGCTGGTGCCGTTGCCTCGCCCTGCCGCCGTGACGGTGGTCGGCTCAGTCGAGCCTCCGACGACGGCGGCGTCTCGACGCCGGAACACGCACAGCACGTCCCGAGTTTCGCCCGAGAAAGCTCCCAACAGTGTGATCTGTCAACGGACACCATCTTAAAATGTGAAAAGCGGTGTTGCACATGTCCCCCCCCCCCCCCCCCCCCCCAAAAAAAAAAAAAGGCTTGGGACGAGTTTTCCTTATAAGTTCCATTGGTTCGAAAGGGACCGGTTCTCGTTACATATCTAAGATTGGAATGTGTCGCTACATTAAAGTTATATTGTGGTGTCTTAATGAATTGTGACAGACAATCATGAAGCGAGCGTGGGAAAATATCTACATCAAACTACGTGTCGTGCCGTCACGATCACATTTGTTCGAGCTTTTTGTTTTCGAGTATCTCTCGGAAATTTACCGATTCTTTGAATTCGGGGCTAAATGCCTACTAAGTTCGGGTGAAATTACAGATATATAGACAAAAAAGGAACGCCGTTTTTCCTGCCGTTTCCTCGAAAACGTATCCTGTTCCCGTTCCAGTTCCTCCGATGCAAGACGGAACAGCGGCGTTCCTGCGTTCCTCCTTAAAGGAACGCGTCGCAGAAACGTCGTTTCTTGGAACGCCGTTTTGAACAACACTGAAGGGAGGCAATACGACAAGTTTGCAGAAAGGTAAATTTGGTGCTCCGGGACGCCTTTCTGCGGCCTCACAGTCAAAACTTTGGGTGCAGAGGCGCTCGAACACCTTGAGCTCCGATGAAAGCTGTGCATGCGCAGTCTTCACTTCTGAAATACCACAAAAAGTTGTCTGCGAGTATACTCTGTTGTGCCGCTACTTTATATTTTACTCGAATCATGATATCAGGTTCTAGAGGATAGTTAATTCGTGCGGTTGGATCTAGCAGGAGGTTCAGACACGCAATAAGACCTTGAAAGGAGCAGAATGAGCACCGACGTGTTTCAGTAACGCCCTCTTATGTTTTCCGCTCTTGACGTCCCAGCCAGGATTGGCCTCGTCGTGATTGGAAGAATTTGCCTCTGCATCGCGTCCTGATTGGCAGGATTTGCCACGTTTTGAACCCGCGATTGGACAGGCATTATTAGTATACGAATAAACTATGGTTTAGCCAATCGCGAACTTTGAGCACAGCAACGCTTTTGGTAGAGTACGTCGCAAAGAGGGATGAAGGAAACCATTGCACCGTCAGGCTATGAACCCGTCACAGAACAAAATAACTGACGTAAGAATTACGTAAGGATATAATAGGGAGCATGATTATTCTGCTCGCCACATCTTGCTTCAGTGCTTGAACGTTATGGTCTGTTCTTTTTTTTTTTTTTTTTATTACTTTATTCTCACCAGTTAGCAACTAACAAACGTGTTTGTCAACGAGCGCCACCCTGAAACCTTAGCAGGTCGGCAAACAAAGATTTTCCTGGCGACGAGATGTTATGGGTCGCACCCTCTTATTGTTTCTATCCGTGATCTATCCGATCAGGAGTATCAATGGCCAGAGACATTTTCGACGGTGTATGCAACAAACACGGCGTAGAAGTCAACATGCTCAAAGACGTCATAGTGAGCGTTTCGGCAACCGTGGAAGGTCCATCACAGCTACCCGCTTGGTCGTCGACATCGCCAGTTGTCTTAGCTGAGACTGTGTGAAAATAATCACTGCAACAGAATGGTTAATTGGGCTAGTCGGTTCATGTTCATTCAGATGAAAGCGCCTCAGAAATTCTCCATCGGGCAATCTTTCCGTTCACAGCAGCAGATGCCCGTGTGTACCAAATCTGCAGAGGACAGGAAATCTTGGAAAACTTTAAAACAAAACAGAAAGAGAGAGCTATTCGAAGAGTTCAATATAAGCGATAGGAAAGCTGCGTAAGTGCTGCGTCGGTGCACATTACCGATAAGGAATTTGACTTCTTATGTGAGGAGGGTGATAAATAATTGTGCGTTTTCAATAAAACTTTCACTTGCAAGTAGCGTTCTGTGCATGTCTTGTCTTCCTCGACCCCGTTTTTCTGAGGCCCTTTCATCTAAAAGAACGCACTGCCAATACTAGCATAAGAGCGCAGTGGCACGTGACGTCGAGACTCAAGCGCCTGTCCTCTCCAGGCTTGGCAGGCTTTCTTTCACACAGTTTAATCTAAGACATTGATTCTAGCAAGTCGCTTCTCTATTTTCCACCAAATCCTAATATTTGGAGCGGTCCAATGTCTTCTTAAAAGGACAACGTTCCAAACGTTCGAAAAAGAAGAAGAAAAAAATGGCTTCGCGTTTCTTGTTTTGTTTTATTTTTTTCACAACCGCAGACCGCGTCGACCGAAACGCGGCGAGAGTGAAAATCAATGCAGGGGGTGCACGAGCACTTAGCAACGCCCGCAATGTAGCGCGAATCGATTGACGGAGTCATCCGCTGGCTGGCCTAATGGAACGCGTGGCCGGCTGGCATGCTGGCCTTGTCCGGCTATCGGACATATGCTAAGCAAACACCCAATCTCATTTTCAATCTCCGCTCCGTGTCGTGATTCAATCGTTCGACCGGGTCGACGGCTGTTTTATTGCTATTCACATTGCAGAATCTTGGGCTCCGCACTTAGACGCACGGAGTTGCCATTTCCTACTTTCTGCGCTCTTGGAGAAGCTACGGCAACAAATGTATTGAGTGTCCACTGTGTACATTAGGGATGTAAATCAAACTGGAACGATTAACGCATGCACATTAAAAAGCTCGAACTTTCACCAAATGTAGACTTTGGTGGGGCATTTTACTTGATTAAATTTCAGAGCCTAGCTTCCTTCCTGCAGAAGATAAGAACAACAAACTTTCCAAGGGTCAACGGCGGACGTGTTCCCAGACGGCCTGAATATTAGTGATGGTTGTAACGTGTGGCGCCATCTCGCAGTAAACGCAGCGAGCAGACGACGCAGACTGTCGCATGGTCGCTGCACCTATCAGGAGATGGCGCCACAAGTCACAACCATCGCTACTTCGGTCGTCTGCGAACACGTTCGGCTTTGCCTTTGGCAAATTCTTTCTCATATTTCATAGAAGATGAACTACGGCTTAAAATCTTGTCAAGTGAAATGCACCATTTAAATGCGCATTTGGAGGAAGTTTGAGATTTCCGTCTGGACTGGGTGCCGCGCCGATTTTCCCGGCTCGTTTTACGGTCCTCAGATAGGACACTCAAGTATAGGACACCCTACATTTGAGCTGAGTTGAAAAAAATATATTGATTGAATCCTTGATTTGGAATCGCCAGGGCTGGCCTTTACTGACCTTGACATCGACATCGGCCGGCACCACGGCGGGTGTGATGCCGGTCAGGAGGAAGCAAGACGAGCCTCGGCCGTTGCACACACCGCACACGTCTCGCTCGCCTTGTCTGTGCCCGGTGAGGTGAGAAAAAACAACAAAAAAATATACAGTTACTGCTATGCTGGTAGATTTTAAGGGACCTTTCAGGCCCTTTTTAAAAGCACCTGCTATCTAGTACTTAAATGTAAACATTTGGCGGAACTCCGCCTGGTTAGGTTAAAGGAGCTGTGCAACGATATTCAATCGGAATGTTTTTCTCTCTATACGAGCTTACTGGCACACCTGGGACTCAAGGATACTCACACGCAACGCCATTTCCCAAGAAACTCCTTTGTTGCGGTGTAATTTCAAGGACAAAAGCGATCATTTTCATTCAATCTCTCCTTTGCAAAATTTGATGACGTAACTCGGGGATCGCAGTACACCCAAGTGACGGTATTTCAATGCGGTTCATAGATTGGACCCGAGCATTGCGTGGGCACTCGACTTGGGCTCGTGACAATTGCTAGCTCGAGAAGCATTCGGGTTGTGACCCGTGTCCAATCGCTGCAACGACGACAACAGCCGAGCCATAACAATGTCTGGAACTCAGCGCGTGTCCTGCGCTTTGCCAACCCCAGCGCGTGGCTATGATCAACACTGGCGGCATATAATCGGCTCCAGATCACGTGGCCGCTTGTTCTGGCTGCGAGTTGAGGGGGTGAACGCTGCTCGTTTCTCTTAAATTTTTTCTGGGTCTTCTATTGCGTGGGGTGAAAAACGAACGCGTGTTTCATAGGTAATTAACGTTAGGGATCCGTTTTAAGCGGTATTTGTGCACAGTACAAAAATTGTTGCATCGCTCCTTTAAGTAATAAGAAAAAAGTACTACGTAGACTTTAACCAATTTCTTCAATGTGCCCGACAGGTCGCTACCTTTGGGCCAATATACAGTCACCCGTGAACAAGGAGCCGAGCTGGCTTCGGAACGTCAGGCACATTGAAGAAATTGGTTAGAGTCTACGTAGTACTTTTTCTTGCCATCTAGTACTATAGCTGCTGAGCCACTTGCCCGAGTCAGTCATAGTTTGGGTATGGTGGACATTTGTATAGTGGCATAGCCTCCTCTAAACTGACAAAGCCTGGCAGATGGCCACAATACGTGGCCGCCGAAAGTGAAAAGGTAAAGCGGCAGACAAGTGTCATGTAATGGGCGCCCCGCTGCGGCGAGACGCCGAAACACACTTCTCCCGGGAGTGTCTGCTCGTGCTCCTCGCGTTCTTCGCGCTACCGCTTCTTCTCTCGTCTGATTTCAAAACCATGTTTCGGGCACTCGTCACTGCAAAAGCTGAGCGCTGAATACCAGACTCCTCGAGAAATGCTCTGTGCTACCAAATCTTCGCACTCCGAATCTGCGACCTGGCACCTTGCGGCTCCGTCATCAAAATGGCAGGCTTTGCGAGGATAGAAGGAGGTTTTGGTTGTGGGCATAGCCTCACGCATTCTGAGCCTCTATTGATCACGAGGACTGCGTCAGCTTTCGTCAAGGAATCGGATCCAGTCACATGTTTCGTGCCCAATAGATGGATGAATGAATGCTAACGGCTCTATACTTTATAATGGGCGGTAAGTTGCGCACCTAGCTAAAAATTAAAAAAAAATATCATGATCCCTCCCTTTATTCTTCTAAGCCAATTTGCTTCCCCTTTGCAATTTCGTAACTATAACCAGGCGGTGTGGGATATCACCAGGATGACATTCGGAAATGGTAACCATTAATGCTGCTTGGTATGGTTTTGAAAAGAGTCTAGTGTCGGTAACGGGCTAAGAATTCAGTGCGTGCTCCGCCTCCCATCTCGAGCTTTCTGCCTTCGGTAAGACTTGGTCGCACGTGCAGTCCAAACTTGATGAAAGGCAACGAGCGCCTGCTGAAAGAGGAGCTTCCAATTAATGTTTAGCCTGTTGCCGACCACAGTGGCAGATGGCAATGCTGCACTAAACCGTGTTAGTATCCAATTTGTCGTTAGTCGTCTAGACAGCAGAAGTTTAGTCTGCCAGAGTAGGACACCATTATTACCTACTGTAGATGAGAAATTTAGCCAGCACTGTACGACTGCCATCCTGGGGCCATAACGTGCTCCACGCATTAGTAATATACGACCACGGACCGGCACAATTATCATCCCGTGTTTGTATCATGTCTTGAAAGACAAAGACAGCGATAAATAAAAATATTGAGGGGAAAAATAAAAACCCTGTTCAGATAAAAGAAAAAAGACAATTTCTTAATTGAGGCTGCCGCTACGCATTGAAAGAAGGAAAGAAGCAGATGACTATAATAAAACAAAGCAACTTAAGCTGACTCTTTGCGTGCTTCGAACCAATAAAGGGAGAAAGATAAAGAAGTTATACAGAAAATAAATGAAGATCCTGAAGCCATTGCTCGGAACCCCTCATGTGAGCCTCCTTTTGGGCGGAGCGACTCGCGAGGCGTGAAGTTACGCGGCGCGCGTGACGCACTGAATTGGCTAACGTGGCTCAAAACTTCCATAGCGGTACATCGTAAAGAAAAAGGGCTCTTTAATCTTACCAAGTATACCCCCCAAAATTTTCTAGACACAAGCCTACGATGCCCCCCCCCCCCCCCCCCCCCTCTCCCTCCCTTTTCGCCTTATAACGTGGAAAAAAAGACACTTTCAAACGCGGCTGGTTTGTGCCGGTCCTCCAGCTCGAACTGTGGTTGTGACCACACAGGCAGCCGTGATGTCACGACTAAAGTTTTCTCGAGCGATGGCGTGACTACGCACCCGTCGCATTCGCAGGGTGTCTTGGCCGACTTGCATCGTCCGCAGGAGTCCGTCACGTTCTCCCTCGTCACGGTGCCGTTCCCGCCCACGCAGCTCCCGCACACCAGCTCGGCCCTCTCGCGGTGCTGTCCTGCGCACCGCTCCACGTCAGCTGGCACGGGCTTCGTCCGGCTTGACGCCTAACAGTCTCTCGAACTGGCATATCTAAAGCCGCCGTCACACTGCTAATATGTCGTACAAGAGACAGTCTGCAGACTCTCTATATGAGGCGTCCCTCGTATGACGGTCACAATGGCCATACGAAAACTGTCTGGAGACGTGAGCGAAGTCTACAGTTGTGCGAAGCATACCGTTGTGCGAAGCAGAAGTGCTTTGAACAAAGCTCGAGTCCTGTCCGCAGACACTTCTGCCATAATGTCTGGAAGGGTTACCCTGTCTTTTGTATTCGCAACTTTCAGCCACGGTGGTACCGCGCGCGGTGTGAGAATTGCGCTTCCTACGTCCCCGATGATCGGCTACAGAGAATGAAGGTGCTTGCTTACATATTCCCGAAGTAGAGGTATGAGTTAAGGCCCTTTGTGTCGCTCGTATTTCGCTAAATTGGACTTACGCCTCGCAGACTGCTGTTCTATGACGATCATCCCGTTGACGATCATTTTGACAGGAACTATCGCCTCCGCCCAAGGGCCACAAATGTTGCGAATGGTGTATGGGCGGTGCGACTGCGACTTTACGATCGCTTCCTAGCCAGGGAGATCGCGCTAGAAAACGAGGCCTGCACATGGCGTCATCGTTCGTGGACCCTTCGAGTGGCAAACACGACGCAGCTCAACGAGAGTTGCCGCAATACGGCAGATCAGTCCGTCTAGTGTCGCACTCGTCGGGAAACGCTGCAAGACACGCTGTCGGAGACGCCGAACATATGAAAACGTGACCCGCGCCTGTATAGTCTCACCGGGCAGGCGGCAGACTCCGAGGCAGTCCTTGAAGGGGCTCTCCTTCTGGGCGGGGCCCCTGACGCAGACCCCGCAGGCGTCGCTCACGTACGCCGACTTGCCGCCCTGGGCGGCCAGGCAGAGGCCGCGGCAGTCGCGGTGCTCCTCGGACGTCGCCGTGTCTCCGTACACCTTGCTGAACTTGCCATCTGGACGTACGAACCACACGTTCCCGTGAAACGCCAATATTGCCGCGTCCATGGCCAAGATGGCATCGCGCATGACTCCCACGATTATTATTCCTCCCACGCTCGTTATTTCCGTTTCTCTTTCGCGACTCTCTTCTAAAACATTCTAATACAACCTTGTCACGCGTCGCTTGTTCGTGTTCAGGATGTTCTACTAGTCTGTATCAAAGAAGTTGAGACTGGCAACATCAAGTCAGTCGCTCTCTCTTCGCCGTCGCACAACGTACGGTTTCTTCTGGTTTAAATGTGTAGGTACGATTTTGCCTGATTATTTTGTTATTGTTATTCCTGACAGTATTACAACACAGCGGGTTCTAATAACACAGACCAACTGCAGCGGGATATTGTGGCATCCCGCTGTGGTTGGTCTTCCACAATTCTCCGAACGCTCACTGTGACGTCTCCAGTTGGATCGATTCTGCTTTCATCGATGGAAATCAGAGTAATGCGAATCTATGAGCTTTTGCGGGGATAGTTTAATAACAGTCCGAGATTCCGCCTTTCATTCGAAATTGATAATTTTGGTCGTGACGTCACGAGTACAAACCGCAAGAGGGCGCCACCAAAACATCTAATTATACTCATTCTCGCTTTAAAGGAGCTGTGCAACGATCTTAACGTTGAAAGAATGGAAATCTTCTACTTTTTGACATTGTTTATCTTGTCACAAAGAACAAAAATACACCTCCTTCCTTCAAAATGTTGCGATTCCGCCGCGTAATCGCGAGGCCAAAATTTGAATATTCCCCGACCTGCAGCCGTGAGCGGCGGTCATGAGAAACACCTGGCGTGACGTAAATGGGGGCCGGCCTTGTAGAAAGATAGCAAGTTTTGCGAATACCTGCTGGTTAAAAGGTAACTTTTCTATAAATCTTGTCGTTTCGACATAAATATAAATGCGTCAAAAACCTGGTATCATCGGCAAAACTTTTATTATACGTAGTTTTAGTGGCGCCATCTATCCTAGGTCTACAAAACCGTCAGCTTTCTCTCTGATACCGTGAACAGCTGCCAAAAGCCGGAGGGGGAGCGGGACAGAGCCGGACGGGTATGGCCGGACCCGGATGAGATTTTCCTCCTTTCACCATATTGTTCGCGCTGCGCCAACACCTTCTAGAGAAGAAGGCTGTACCGCTCCGAGTGGTTAAGTCACAATGTCGGATGATGGAAGGCCATGGCGCAACTACGTGAGAAAATATCTGCTATCGACGTGAAAAAATATTTCTTGTGAAGCGGCGCGGTGGTGTTCGTGCGCGTTTATCTGACATTAATTTGCGTTTCAAAAGCGCAGTCGTGTACAATTATATATATACAACACGTTACCAAGGTTGAGAGTACCAAATTTACATTTAAAAGTATCCCCGTAACCGCGGGACTACGTGCAGTCCCGCAGCTCCCCATACTTTTCGAATGAACCGGTTCCGATGCGGCATCTTCCCTCATACGGGCTCTCATTCTGGTAAATTTACGTTGTATGTGAACTGCTGACTGTCTGAAAAGAAACGCTGAGACATTTCAGAAGGGAAGGAAACCGAAAAAACAAAATCCAGTCATCGCCGCAGGGAGCGCACACGAGCAAGAGATGGGTCGACAACGTTAAGCTTTTCGTCGCCGCTGCTCTCGTATGTGGTACTTTTGAGACTTGTTTTCTTCTTGTCGTTTTTTCGTCATCACCGTAGTTTCGGGTAGTTTTTTTTTTTTTTTTTTTCGCTTGATATTACGGCGTTCACGTAGATTCGTGGAACAAGTCCTGCTATGGTTCGAGTGACATGTGTGACAACTAGCCAACGATGACCCTGGTCGATTATCGACAGACCTCTCTCTTGAAAGAGAGAGACTGCTTGGAGTTCGCGTCCAAATGCTTTCGTCACGGATATTGTGGGACGTATGGATACGATCGAAAGGTCAGAAACAACTTATTTACGGGCTTTCTTGGTCATGTAGAACGCGAGTGAAGTGCTGTAATCGTTTTTTCTTTCTTCTTTTGATTGCATGATAGAATGAATTTTTTTTCTTTTTTTTTTTTTTGTCGTTATCCGTGTGCAGTTCCGTCGACATTTGCAAATATGAGTGGTAATCTAGTTTTCACTGGAAGGCGAAAAACAAGCTTGTGTGATTATTGAAAGTACGCTGTTTGTGGTTATTATGTGTTTATTTATACTAATGTTATTTTATTGCTTTTATCGCGTTTATACTAGAATCGTAACTGTATTAAGGTAACAGTATTATTGCATACAAATAAAGTTATATTTTGTTCTAAGGCAACTCGAGCCCATAGGAAGTAGTAAATTTGTTGACTAAGTAGTAAGTCTAGTACCCTGCCACATGGTAAAGTTAATATATTTTCACTCAATGATATAAAATTTAATCAGCTCGCGGACTCGAGTGATTATACGAGAGTCGCAAGCTGATTTGTCGACCCCATAATGTCACTCGATTGAAATAACATAACTTTTGCCATGTGGCCGGGGTCTAATGCAAGAATTCAGTGACTGTACGCGATAACATCGCTTATATAATCGTAATGACACTTGCCTTGCCGTGTCCGCGTTTACTACGTCTACCTGACTTTTAACAGTGATCTGTTTTATTGTGTCCAATCACTGCGTGTCTCGCTATTCTGTCGAAGTATTTCTGTATAAAATATGTATTCCTACAGAAATAATTGCGTGACTCAATGTTTTCGACTTAAAACAATCACATTTTTCTATAGACGTCTTATATGCATATCGTGCCATTTCGTACCGATTATTTAGCGGAATAACAGTTTGCCCGTGTAATAAAATGTTTTCTAGACCCGTTGCAATGTGCAGCTTTCATTTTAGCTAATAAGGCACGCGTATGTGACTAAAAGCGCGTTACGACGGTCGATCTACGCGCGGGTCCTTCGCTTTGACGCGCGCCCCCGATGGCCTTCCGTTGCGACGTCACGAGAAGAGCGTTACGGCCTTCTTCTCTAGGAGGTGCTGGCTGATCCCGCCAGCACGTGGTCACGCGGTCGTGAGCGGATGAGTTCTCGCTGCTCACTAAAGGCTCTAGAGAGAGAACTTCACCGGAACCTCGCGCGACCCTCATTGACGTCACAGCGCACGTGACTCGGAAGCTGGTGAAGAAGTTGAGAGGTTCTGAAAACCTCAACCTTTGCCCATAAAAAACAAAAAAACCTAGGAAATTTAGGCAAAAGCGGTTTTTTGTCATTTGCTTCAGAAAGGTGGAAACACCAACTCCCCAATTATTTCAACAAAGCACTGAAACTGTTGCACAGCTCCTTTAAGTCCGAACGCAACTGACACTACGATCTGCTGCAGAAAATCAAGCTGCGCGGCCAGTATTTCGTCACTGCGCCCGGCGCCTTTGAGCGTTTGCTATTCAGAGACTACGTCAATCACTCACAGTGATTGATGTAGTCTCAATCCCGCGCTTTCTGTTACGCGTGATGGTCTATACTTCTTTCCGGGGCTAGCATACCCACAAAGACAACTGGCGCCGTGACGAGGCACTTTTGGTGCTACTTGATTGGCTGCATCGAATCGCAGCTTGCCAGCAGGCGCTGGTGCACGACGACCTCGTCCATGGCATGCGGACACAAGGACGCGCGGGGGGCTTCGCTCACAGAGGCAGTTGCCCGAGCAAGGGTCCAGGTAGGCCGAGCCCCCGCAGACGCCGTGGCAGTCCCTCCTGGCCCTTCCGCCGCAGCTTCCCTTGCAGTCCCGGCCGTGGCCCGGTTCCAGGCCCGTGCTGCCGCCCACGCAGAACCCGCACGGGTTCAGCCGCGCGCCGTGGAAGCCCAGCCGCTCGCACTCTGCACGAGAGACGAGACCTTAAAGGGCCGACGACCAGACTCGAGATTCTGCAAGGCAGAAGATCCTCCTTACCATGGGAGAGGAGAAAACAGGCAACGGTGGACAGGGGAGAAGGGGGGAGAGGAGGAAGCGGGCAAAAGTGGAGAGCGCAAACGGGTCGTCGGTGTTTTAAAACGCGCTCTTCATACACGCGTACAAAAACACAGTCTGCGGACGCTGTCTAAGTCTTCCTTGAATGACGGCCCTGTCACAGTGGTCATACGTAAAACTGGCTGCAGACACGTTCCCAGTATGTAGGAAGCAACAGATATGCTTCGAATATGCTTCAGGCGTGTCCGCAAATACTTCTGTCACCATGTCGCGTATGATGTATGTTGTGAATGCGACTGCGGCTTTAGAGGTAGTGAAGTAACTTAGCGAAGCATAACTGCACCACCTATACAAAGACAAGGGGTGCTCGGAATTCTGAACTCATTTCTCCCGTTGCATTTCAAAGAACTCAGACTTTTAATATTTATATATACCTATCGCGCGTAAGGCCGACAAGTCGAGAAAACCGAAACGAGTTGCATGATTCCTCGGAGAGAAAGAAACTTTAGGCGGGAGTGGAGGTTGTCCGACTCACTTTTGTCGGCGCTGGCGGATTGGGCAGCCAGAATCAAGATGGCGGCGACCAGGGGCGACGCTGGAGGCCGCGTTGGCGCTGGGGGCATCGAGGACGCATGCGCGCCCGAGGCTACCTGGGTCCAGGCAGCACCTCTGCACGAAAAGAGCGGACAGACCAGCATGCTGCTTACAAGCAAACCCGCATTCGCCCATATCAGGAGTGGGCACTGTCCAGCAACCGGATTGGATTGCGTCTGCGCGTACGCCGTGCCAACAGCAGCCATCGTAGCGGCGTGACTTCAAAGCCGTGTTGTTCGTGAAGCAAATTGTTGTGTGCATGTTTTTACAGCCGGAAGTTAGTCTGCTTCGGCGAGCGTCTGGTGTCTATGCTGTAGATGAGCGATTAAGCCGGTGCGGTACAGCCGCTAACCTGGGGTCTTTAACGTGCACCACGCAGTAGTGATACACGACCGCACGCCGGTACGATGCTCATCCAGATCGAAATGGGCAGGGGTAGAGCGGGGTGCCTCAATGTCTTCCCGTTTAAGGTGATGTCACCCTAAAGGAGGCTATGGCCACCCTTTGTAGTACAAGATGCCGACAGCACGCGCTCACGGTGAAAGTACGAAGAAATCGACGAAAAGAAAAGGTCGCCGTAGCACAGTCAGCGCCACAAACGCGCGAAGGGACACGCTCGTTCACGCGATTCTGATCAAAAAAGAAAAATAAACGTGGGAGACGGCCAGATGTCTCCAGCAAAGCGCACATGAAGGCACCTTAGGGTGGAGATTGAACCCACGATTGCTGGGTACTCCAGCGCGAGTTTTCGCTCTACATGCTCCGAGCTGGTGTGCGCTAGCCCACTCGGCCAGCGACCCCCCATTCATACGCGCCCATAGGCCCCACACATTTATACGCACCCTGCAGTCCAAGGATTGCCACTTATAGATGCTACGATTTTTTGCACTTCGCGCAAATACCGCTTAGAACGGATCCATGACGTTAAAGGGATACTAGACCAAGAATTGCTGCGCTCATAATAAGTATCCCACAAGCCAGCAGCCGCCGAAATGCGCGAGCACACGCAAGGAAATGAACGTCATAGGCCTCCATTCACGCTTAAGATGACAGTGAAACGTATGGTATCGGGGCAAAAGGAGAACAAAAAGAGGCTTTTCATCCACACAAGTGAAAGGTAAGTGCTTGTTAGACCAACCAATCGCCTGCTTTTTACACCAGAGCCCACTGTGGAGATGAAAGATTGTCTTTATTCTCCTTTCTCCCGGAGCCCAAACATTTCACCGTCATCTTAAGCGTGATAGGGGAAAAAAAAAATCTGTAGTAAAAGCTGAGTTTGAGACGTCGTCCTGTCTATTTTCTGTCCCTTCTACGCTTTGATGCTTCTTCTCTACCCCAGTCTCAGGTTATTTCAACATGGTGATAGGGGGACCATGACGTCAACTTCGTTGCGTGTGCTCGCACAAACCGGCGGCGGCCGGCTCGTGGAAAGGTCGTACGCCATCTATTATGGACACTGGAATGTTTGGTTCCCGGAATTTTTGTGGAAACAATATAAGACAAACTCCTGAGATCAAAGTGTTTCCTTCCAATAAAAAAAAAAAAAAAAAAAAAAAAAACGGTCAGAAATTTACGCGAGCTTGTGTAAGGGATCTGTGCCAATCTGTGCGCGGCTTTCTTTTGTCCATTTGGTCTTTCTTTGCTTTCTTCTGGTCAAGTGAGAGAGAGAAGGTGATTCTTTGTATCAATTTCAGGGACGAAGATCATCTGCATTGGGGACAAAATTTAGGGTATCTAGGTCACAGCGTCTCGATGGGCCAACAGGACGTTTCTGCTGTCGAACAAGCGGGAGAGGCCTCGCGATCGCGTCTTTTTTTTAGCAACTCAATCGAGAACCCAGTCGCTTGTCCAGGTAGCAGGACCTATTTGGAAATAAAGGTGAATTGAAAAGGTGTTAACCGCAGGGGACGACATCTCCACATAGAAACGAGGCAAGACGTCCGATCAGACTTTTGAGAGCCAGAAGCTGCTCAAAGTCACAAAAGTGTGAGTGGCGGCTACGATAAACACTTCCATAACAGTTGCGCTTTGCTTCTTACCCCAGGACAGTAAGGTAGAAAGTAACGCCGCAAAAGTAATGGAATACTTCTTGAAGTAGTTGTCACTTACTTTTATGGAAGTGTAATTGAAACTGTTTTAATGCGTTGGCATTAGAACGCTCGTTTTGACAAAAAAAAACCGGTGGTGTCTTTCGTTTGTCAGCTACAGAGAGAGAAGGAGAAGGAGGGGGAGAGGGTGACGCGTACGACGCTCCCATTGGTCCAAAGCGCTGACGTCAACACGCGCCAGCCTCTCCCCCTACTTCTCCTTCTCTCCCCGTAGCTGACAAACCGAAAGACACCGCCGGGTTTTCGTCAAAACGAGTCCTTCATTCTTCGTGAAAGTCACGCACACAGATAGCGCGGAGCCAGAGGGGAGGAGGCGCAGCGCAACAGCCCCTAGGTAACGAAGCCTTAGTGCTGAATAAGATGACGTCATCAGAGAAGGCCAACTCAGGACGCAAATTTGAAACAAGTGCCGCGTCAGTGCTCGGCTTTGAGTCGAGTTTGAACTTCCAGCCAAACGTTGACGTAATCGTCGTGTCCAATCTGGGCCCAGCGTTGGCTTTCTTTGACGACGCCATCACATTCAGCACTACGGCTTTGCTATCAAGGAGGTGTTGCGATGCGGCACCGTGGAATGCGGGCGTCTCGGCGTCACTATAGGATCAGCGGCACCCGGGGCGGTAGCTCGCAGTGAGCCACCCCCTCCCCTTTCCCTCTCCGAAAGCTTTCACCGTGTTAATTAATGCCTCGGTGGCCTCTATGAATCGGTCAGCCGTGTCCCAAATGGCCAACCACACCTCGTCCAGCGTAGAACGACGAGTGCTTCAGCAAACATATTACCGATCATAAATTCACATCCGTTTAACCTGTTGTTTTTTGTTTTGTTTTGTTGCTGTATTAGGAACGTCATAAAAAGTATTACGTGACCTACATGTACGTTGCGGCGCTCGCTTTATTGAAACAAACGGCTCTCTTTCATTTCCGACCATTCTGCACCCGGAGACCACACTGTGTCTTTTAAATGGTCCGTTCTGATTCGGAAAGGTGGATTTCGATTGGTCGCTCATGAGGGGAGGATGTAAATGGGCCGATATCGATGACTTGACCGCACCCTCGTTTTATCTTTCAGTCCAAAAGCGAAACGGCGAAATCAATGGTCATGCCTCTTGGACTGCTTGTGAACCGCGTCACGCGTTTCAGATAGCCAACCGGACACGAACGACCGCGACTGAACTTCCCAGTGAAATGGGCTCTTACTCTGTATGATGCGACGTGCGGAGGAGGCAAATAGACAGAGAACGAGTGACCCGTTTTTTTTTTGTGTGTGTGTGTGTATGGGTGATTTTTAAGCAGTTTGCAGTTTGTCATGTCGTCTAATCACACCATAGACAAGTGGAGCAATGCATGTTTAATGGATTGGGCACCGAAGGGGTCGGCAATCAAATGTACTCGAAAAACGCTAAAGCTGCGAGCGCGTGCTCGTTCGCTGATCGTTCCGATGACAATTAGGGCAACGGTATTTAAAGTGCCCGTGCGGCAGTCGTGTGACCTTTCTTTGCGCGGGTTGAACGCATAAAGATAAGTAGGGATATATTTGCGCAGAAAAGTAATCTCTTCTCTTAGACCTAAAGAGAAAAAAATCTAATTATGGGAAGCGTCGTGGATGCTTACTGCATGCATACGATTAACCTAAAAAACTGTAAACGGGTGCGGCGTTTCGCATTTGGTATTCGAAATAAAGAGTGTGTACTACTTTTCTCATCTAACTGATATGACTCGTATCTAAAGTAAAAAACAAAGAAAAAAAATTAAATTAGCACCATCGGCTGTCAAACGAGTCTTTGGTAATTCTTTGACTGTACCGAGTTTTACATAAAGTGAACCAACACCACGATCCAGCGGAGCCAATCATACATCGTCAAAAGTGCACCGTCACGGCGCTCGTTGTCTTTGTGCGTTTATTATTACCAACCAATCACTTACAAAAAAAAAAAAAAAAGATAGGCAGCAACCTTTACCTGTAAAGCTTTATAATGCATGAAATGCATTATAGAGAATTGATGAGGGGTAAGTACAGGCAGTATATTTCCCCGCTAAATTTAGCAAGAAAACTTTAAATGCTTGTATAGGTCACGTGACGTCAGGTTACCCGTCGTCGATTTTTCCCGATAAATTTAGCGGGGAAAATGGATTGGTGACTTAGGTTACAAGACGCGAATTTTCCCGCTTAAGTCTAGCGGGTAACTGGATTGACATGTAGGTCATGTGACGTCGGATTCCCGTTAAATTTAGCGGGGAAACTAGGTTGATGTTTTGGCCACGTGACGTGAGTTTGCCCGCTAAATTTAGCGGGGAAACTGAGTTTTCGACGTTCTTCCACTTGCCCTACAACGCGTAGGTCACGTGCCGTTGTCAATTTCCCCCAAGGTGTTCAGGTCACGTCACGTCACGTGACGCCATTTTCCCGCCAAATTTAGCGGGAAAATTGATTTGTTGTGTAGATCGCGCGACGTCATGTATTACCTTCTAAATTTGGCCGGGAAACTGAATTGGTCTGTATGTCCCGTGACGTCATGTCAGTGACATCACTTTTCCCGCTAAATTTAGCTGAGAAACTGAATTGGTGCAGAGGTTTCGGGAAGTCAATTTCCCCGCAAATTTTAGCGGAAAATGCACAAATGGAAGACCGGACGGGCGAACCGAATTCGGGGATGAAGGGGGTTACCCTTAAAATTGCATTTCACGCTTTAAAAACAACATAAAATCATTGCACAAAAACGACGACCGCCGTGACAATGCACTTTTCGTGCTTCTTGATTTTTTCCTAATGATCCTAGCATCGGCAGCACTTGGACATAAATAAATAACGATACAAAAAAACACGTTTCTTAAGTACGGCGAGAATGCTGGGTAACAGTCGTTTGGAACGACCACTGTAGCGATACCAGCTGCACAGAATCAAAGTTGTACCGTAAAGTTGTACCCATTAAGCGGGAGAGCACAAAAAGAAGACGCGCAGTGACTCCACCGCTGTTCTATTGCTGTCCTGGGAATTTCAA